CTGCAACGGTCATTCCAGCTGAGCGAGCTGACCATTTTCAACAAGCCTTGGAAAGGATTTGGCTCCGACACTTTGGCTGCCCCAAGGTTTTTGGTCACAGATGAAGGCAGAGGCTGGAATGCTGATCGGTTTCATGATTGGACCAGCGATCAAATGATCGAACACCAAGTTGCACCTGGAGAGGCACACACCAGACTCTCCCTGGTTGAGCGCAGACATGCAGTCCTGCGCAAAGCTGCTGAAGTTTGGATGGAGGATCAAAAGATGGTCAGTGTGGACGGCCTTAAGCAGTCCCTGTGCTACGTGGTGCCCCAACTCAATGCATCACCAACAGTTTGTGTTTTTTCTCCTGCGCAATGGCTTTATGGATTTCAACCTCGTTTTGCAGGTGATTTGCTGGGCGACTCACTTGGCCCTGCACAACTCCAAGGGAAGCAAAGCTTTGAAGAAAGCCTGCAAAAGCGTGCCATTGCCAAACAGGCAATCACCAAGGCCGAGACTGACCGAAAACTTCGAAGAGCCATGCTGAGGAAGTACAGGAGCCAACACGACAGCTTGGTGGTTGGCCAAACTTGCCATTTTTGGCGAGATGCCAGAGCTGCGGACTTAGTCAAAGTTCGATGGCATGGACCTGCAAGAGTCGTCATGGTGGAAACCGATGATGAGGGGCGACCACGCCTTTATTGGCTGGCCTTCAAGACTCAGCTCATCCGAGCTGCCCCACATCATGTGAGACCCAATTTCGAGGACATCAGTGCTGGAGTTGATGGACTTGATGCAGCACGACGTGATGTCGATGGACTTCGCTCAAGGGGGGTCACAAGGTTTCTTGACCTGTCTCGGGTCAATCGTCGCAACATCGACGACATCGACGAAGATGAGGAAGCCATGGATGATGGCGATGGACCTGGTGATGATGGGGATGACTGGTTTCCAATGGAGCCACCAACCACCAGAAGGCGCCTCAGTGAGGACGCGGGGGATGATCGCCCGGTCTTGGATTTGACCGGTGAGCGGTCGGGCTTGGACTCTCAGCCCTCGGCATTGGACTTTGCCGGTCCTCATGCGGCCCCTGAGGTTGAGATCCTCGATACATCACCAAGGTCAAGGTCTAGCCGAGCTCCTAGCCTGGCATACTCTCCAACTACGATGGCTGGGCCGAACACACCAAGGATCGACACTGATGAGGAGGAGCCCAACGTTGAGCCACCTCATCCTGGCACTGTGCCCAACTCACCTGGACGTGATCCACGAGCTCTTCAACCTGATTCACTACAACCTCAACATCCACAACAACCTGGACATCAAGAACCTCCTTCAGTACCACGGCAATCGGATTCACTACAACCTTCATCAACACCTTCACAACCACATCAACCTCCTGGACGCGATCTACAACTTGATCCTTCGATGGCGAGGCTCTATGAACCTGCTGGACCAGAAGATCGATTTCGACTTCAACGCCAACGACTTGATCAACAAGAAGCTGCGATTTTTGGGCCTATTCGACGTCATCGAGATCAACATCAACGACCCTACGATCGAGATCTACCTGGAGATGCTGATGGTCCAACTGAAGGCTATGTGCAGGCCTTCGACATCACTGGAACTCAAGGAGAACATCTACCTGACGGATGGCACTGCAACGATGAAGGCGTCTTCAACCTCACTGAAGACCCCATGGACTATTGGGAGGTGAAAGCTGGCTGTGTCATTCGACATCATCGACGCCCTCGACGAGCTCTTTTCAAACTCAAGGACTACATGGACACTCCGGTCGATCCAGAGCTGCTGGATGGACTTCGAACAACTGTGCTCTGGAAAGCTGATGGCAGTTTTGAGATCATCAGCGACAAGGAGTTTGACAACAAGGTCATCGACAAGGAGTGGACTGGTTGCACGATCTTTCAGATCACTGGCAAAGCTCGTCGGGAGATGGGAATGTTTGCAAACCTTCCTGCAAAGAAACTTGGACGCGAGGCCAAAACCAAAATGGCCCGCCAACAAAAGAAGGTCGACAAGGGTGGTGTCAATGAGCGACATCTTTGTGCTGCCGACCGTGCCAAGTTCCAAGAAGCCAAACGGAAGGAACTGGAATCCTTCTTTCACAACCAGGTCTGGGAGTTCGACACGGTGGACAATGCCCAAGCCGAGAGAACGCTCACGGCCAGAGTACTCACAAAATGGTCAAAGAATCCTGATGGGTCACCAAGGGCAAAGGCCAGGCTCATTGTGCGGGGTTACCAAGACTATGATGCTCTGTCAAAGGGCCTGGACACCAGTTCACCAACAACCTCAAGGACTTCCAGAAACTTTCTGCTGAGCCTGACGGCCATTTTGGGCTGGAATGCATGGACCTCAGACATAGCGACAGCCTTCCTGCAGGGTGGCTATCAATCGAGGAAGTTATGGGTAAAACTACCAGCTGATTGCCTTCAGCTACTTGGAGCTCCTCCTACTACAAGGATGCTGCTGCTGAAACCTGTGTATGGGCAGCTCGACGCTCCAAGGATGTGGTGGATTGAAGCCCAACGGAGACTCCGAGAACTTGGTCTTCGTCAACACCCTCTTGACCCTTGCTTGTTTTTGGCTTTTGAGGTCGACTATGCCGAGGAGCCTTGCACTGATGGCACCGTTTTTGGTGAAGGCCGACTATGCGGCGCTATCTGCCTGCATGTGGATGACATGCTTGGAGCTGGGTCACCTACCTCAGCTACATATGCCAAATTGGTTGAAGGACTTCGGGCATCTTTCAACTTTCGAGAATGGAAAGATGGAGAACGCCTGGAGTACTGTGGCTCAGTTTTGGAGAAAGTTCCTGGTGGAGGTCTGAAACTTCATCAGGAAGCTTACCTTGGAAAAGTTCACCCTGTGACCATTCAGAAAGGCGCTGGTCCAACACCGACCTCACCGCCAAGGAGATCACTCAACTGAGAGGACTCTGTGGAGCCCTACAGTGGCCTGCGGTGCAGAGTGCACCCCACTTGCAGGCTTCGACTTCGATCACCTCTGGAATGGTCAACAATGGAAAGGTGAGCACCATCACCGAACTGAATCGCACCCTCAAGTTCGCCAAGGAGAATGCAGATGTGGGGCTCCAGTTTATGCCCCTGGGAGACATCAAAAACTTGCGTCTGGTGACGATGTTTGATGCATCGTTCAGCGCTCGACCTGACGGAAGCAGTCAAGGTGGATACATGGTCATGCTCGTGCCGGAGCACACCCTCACCAACACTGAGGACTGGTTCCACCTTTTGGAATGGAGATCTTTGAAGCTGCCACGAGTGGCGAGATCGTCTTTAGCTGCTGAAGCACAAGCCGCTGCATCAGCCGCAGATGCCACTGACTTCATCTGCAAGTTCTACAGCTACCTGGAGAACCCCAACCGCAAGCTTGGTGATTTGCTTGGTCAGGAGAGCAGTCTCCGACCGGTTTTGGTGACTGATGCCAAAGCCCTTTACGACAGTTACCACAGAGAATCGGTGACATCGAGTGTCACAGATCGGAGAATTGCCCTCGAGATCAGAGTCATCAAGGAGTTGGTCATGGAGCTTAAAGGTGAGCTCAGATGGGTCAGCAGTGAGCGCCAATGGGCTGATGGACTTACAAAGCTCTCAGCGCGCCAACTTCTAGCTGGACGGCTTCGTCATGGAAGAGTTGGATTCTACTGGGATCCGAGCTATGTGGCTGCGAAGAAAAAGACTGCTGCCGAGAGACAGCAAAACATGGATGCTCATGCTGCACCTCCTCCGAAGAGACTGCGAAAGATCGACGAAGATGTGATGGAAGAAGAAGCTGAACCTGGTGAAACCTATGAGACTGAAGATGAGAACATGCCAACCGAGACCTATGAGAATGTGGATGAGAACCTGCCAACGGAGGCCTATGCCTACATGGTCTACACCAACGACATGCTTGACTATGTGGACGTTGCCTTCTCAAAGTCCAAGGACATGATGGAAAATTCGGAAGCGATCCTCAATGGGATGCGCACCTACACCACGGACATTTTGTCCCAAACCGGCATTTTGCCGAACCTTTTGAGCTTGCTGGCCTACATCGTTTCTTTGAAGATGTTTTTGGGCCTGCTGCTCCTGGCTGCCATGGCCTACTTGGTCCAGAAATACGTGAACCACAAGATGGAGAAATCGTATCAAGCTGGTTTCCAAGCTGCTCGGGATGAAGCCTACCATGAGGTTCAACAGAGCCGAGGCTTAGCTATCGTGATGGGTGGCATGGAAGACACCTATGTGCGAGTCCGAGAGCAGTACCGAGAATTTGCCCGACGCCGGCGAATTCTGGAAGATGCAGATGTGCAGCGTGATGCTGCAATTCCTGTCTGCAGGAGAGCCTTGCTTGAGGCGGTTGAGCACGCGGATATCTGCCCTATGGGCGACCTGATTTGGGAGATGGATGGCACCTGGCACTCTCAGCCTCAATGTGCCGACCTGCCGGCATACCGAGCCGGTGCACCCAGATATGGAACGCCTGGGAGCCCTGTGACAGTGCTTCGACCTTGCACTACGTGCTCATCAGGGACACCAACACCACATATCCCTGACAGGCATGGAACGACCTTGCTGCGAGAGCTGGAAGCCTGGATCATAGATCAGGGCACAAACGCCTGGCCGCTGACTGGACCATATGCTGATGGACCTTAGGAGTTTTTCTTTAATTTTCAGGTGTGCCGAGCTAGCACTCTCTCCCCTGTGTGAGTTGCACGCCGTGCACCCTGGTTCCATACATACATGTTGTTTTCTCATGTGGCCAATGTGGCCCAACTTCCCCTTCAAATCCCACTAGGGTGGGTAATGGTACCAACCTGGCTGCGCCATAGCCTTCGAAAAGGGGGCACCTTTGCTTTTGCGCCGAGCGGGGACTTCGGGAGCCTTGCTTGCAGATTGGTCTGGAACTTCACCAATCTTACAATAATATATAAATGTACATAATACGTGGCGATTTTGAATATGTAACTGGCTTACACTTTGGCTATTACCTCCTCAGCCCTTAACACAGTTTTCCCCGGCCGTTCTGTCTGCTGCCTCTGCTTCAACCGCCTCCAGGGAGGAGACCTGCGAACGATGGATTTCACCAGGATTTCACAGGAAATTTACTGGAACCGAAGACAAAACATTAGATCACCCTATTCCATACAATGTGAGGCCCCCGTTGGATAGCTAAGTTGGTGAACATAACTCCAAAAACTATGGTTTATGGTACGCAAATAACTATTGTTACTGGGGCTTCTGTTAACCAACTTGTAACTGGGGGTCCTCACATTGTATAAACAATCACTTGGAATCAACATTAAACCAGACATAACATTTCATACAACACAATATAACATGATGTAACCAAAGTGGCCATCCATAATTATTCATGTTATTACCCTCTGGTAAACGTTTACATAACTATGGAAAATCACAATTTTCTAGCTGGGTAAATCCCATAAAATGGCCATGTTCAATAGCTATGTTAGTTTGCCAGAGGGTATGATCTATATTAATAAAGAGAGATTAATTAAGTAATCCCATATGTATATATATATATATGTATATTCGCTAATACAATATACTTAACAGTAATTGAATTGTTTTTCAAGGTGTTTTCTAGGATGACAAATCCTTCAAAAAAGAAAAATTCGGGACACAAGAATGACACTGTCCTTATGAGGAACAGACCATCTTCCAAAACCATCTTGAGAAGGGGTAAATCACGTGGCAGCATTGGAAAGTCCCAGGTTTCAATCATCTTTGAACGGGAGATTCTACACTGTAACGTTCAATTGCCTTGGGGGAAAACGCGGATGGAATCAATATTTATGTATTAGGTGTTCCCCCAATTTATAAATTGATCTATAGACCCCATTATATAACTATGGTTATATCATGCTATATTGCCCATAAACCATAGAATTCAGCAAGTCATTTCACCAACTTAGCATTCTAGGGGTCCCACCTGGTATGTATAGTTTTAGGTGGGGATATTCCATATGTAACTGGCTTAGACTATGGTTATTACCCCCAACCAAGCGTATTATATAAATATATACCCAGCCCTTAACACAGTTTTCCCCGGCCCCGGTTCTGTCTGCTGCCTCTGCTTCAACCGCCACTTCCAGGGGCGAGGAGACCTGGGAACGGTGGGCTAATCCAATTTGGATGGTATGAATGGGATTGATTTCTTCAGATTTCATGGGAAGTGGCATCGGAACCTCCGAGAAAACATTTGAAAACTAAGATTAGGCTTCAAGAATAACAATGTCCAAAAGGAACGCACCATCTTCCAGAGGGAAACTCACTTGGCAATGGAAAGTCCCAGGTTTCAATCATCTTTGAATGGGCAAAGCGTGGATAGAATCTATGGATCTGGGGAAAAACATGGTTTTCAATCCAAGATCTAAGGCCATACCCCAGAATGTTTGCTTATGTAAACAAAGGCTGGGAATGTCACAAACTCGCAGTTTTTGCATATGTCTGCAGCCGACCACAAATTTTGCATATGTTCATACGTAACCAAATGAATACCCTCTGGTAAACGTTAACATCACGGAAAGATCCACCATTTTCAATGAGACAACTCACTATAAATGGGCCATTTTCCATAGCTTTTTGTATGTTTACCAGAGGGGCGAGGTCTGATCCAGTGGCGAAGTGGCCGTGGACCTGTCGGACCTGTTCCGCCCACCGAAGATTCTAACATCGTTGGCCGAGGGAATCTCGAAAATCTAGAGGGCTACACCATTCCGGAAGCCATCAAAAGCACACCAAAGTGGGCTGAACACAATCACCCCGTCATCCCCAAAGTACAACAGCATTTTAGTTAAACCCCCAAATTCCATGAATTACTCATGAATTTCTCATAGTTTAGATAGTGGTTGAACTTAACATCCATCGTGTGATTGGGAACCTCTTGGTAGCTCCTTGGTTCCCATTAAAATAGGGAACACAAATGCTCGAATTGCTCCTAACAACTCCGTCCGACATCATTTGATGGACCATGAACCGACCATTTCTCTGGTACCCTTTGATTATTCAATGGAAAATCACAATTTGTGAAAACGGCAAATCATTATAAATGATCGAAAGAAATTGGCAATCTTCCCCATTTTTTGTTGGTTCAATCCCTATGATTCACTATGATATTCCATTAAAAACCTATTCAACCTACCATTTTCTCTGGTATATCTTCGAAATGCCAAGGGAACCATTAATACACCTATCCCATCTCCTTATACCAGTGATACAGGATGATACAGGGTGCATTGAGGCGTCACCGGGCACACATATGCACAATTGTACAGAACAACAAATGACATCTTAAATGGCAACATCTAAAGACATGTTAGTCAACATACATGACCATCAAATATGACAATGTACCATATTAATGACAATTTCAGATATTTCCATTTGATATATTTATACATACATATATATATATACACAATATAATCAATATATACAACATCATATACCATAAGAATCGACCTCTGGCAACTCCTCCGGCATCATCTTGGGCTCTGATGAAGTTTTCCAATCAAACAAATCCGTATGTTTTGGTGAACCCCCCCACGTTCCAGAAACTTCCCTCTGGAGCATCATTTGTCATATCCTTTGGTGCTTGAAACTACTATAAACCTACCATTTCTCTATAGTATGTTTGATTTTATGGATGGTTTATTATTGGGTTTACCACATTGATTAAACCTAGCATTTCAATGTCTGATATTTATGATTATTATTGATCCATACTATATAGAGACATTTCTCGAAGATATGTTTACCACATCAATGTGGTGTCCCCAAGATAGCTAAGTTGGTTTATAATTCTAATAACTAGGACTTATGGTAGATATATCTAGAGTTAATGGGATTATAAACCAACTTATAACTGGGGGGGGAACCACCTTGATTGATTTCATTTTTCAGACATATCTTCGAAATCCCAAGGATCCGGTTTGTTCACTAACTGCTGCCCAGAGACCAACGCCTCCGTGGACTGACAAAACGCCTGCAGCATTTCAGTCGTCGAGGTCGAGATGGACGATGTGTCATCAGTTTGGATTTAACGAACGGACATGACTGGTTGGTGGTTTCAACCTACCCCTCTGAAAAATCATGGAGTGAAAGTCAGTTGGGATGATCAAATTCCCAACTGTTTCTGGAAAAATATTCCAAACTTAAAAAACAGGTGAAGATTTACTTGTGATTTTTGATGAGATACATGAGGATTTCACCACGAGAAATGGTGATTTAATGAGATACATGGTGATTTAACCGCAAAATATATTGTGATCAAGTGGGATTTTAATGGGAGAAAAGATGGGAAACCCATAGTAGGGGTAATGGGAAATCAATGTCGAGTTTATCAAATATGTAACAATCAACTATATATATATGTACCCTAATGGGCATGATCCTATAGTTTACTCCTGGATTAGTTGATGGTCCGTTCTCACTACCGTTGTTCGTAAAATGAGCGATATTTATGCAATCTTTAGACTAAATATATCCAAACCTGTTGAACCTGTAGCAATCATTGCCATAAATATGATAAACCGCATAAAGCATAAGCATTCTGTTTATTCTGATTCTAGCTGGTTAGATATCTAATTGTATCTGGTTGGTGGTATACCTACCCCTCTGAAAAATGAGTTCGCCAGTTGGGATTATTCCCAACTGAATGGAAAGTCATAAAATTCCATGGTTCCAAACCACCAACCAGATAATAGTGGTTGGATTATAACCCATTTATAGATATATCACCTAGACATACACTAACTATAGATTCATATCCCAGGTGTGTATATATATAATTATACATATCTATATCTGTCCCATGGCTGTGTCTGAAAATGAGGTATATCGGTATACCCCAACAGCCAGTCGCCGGTCGATATACAGCACGTGGATTTCGGCAGATTTCGGCATCCGAAAAAATTGAAGTCTCAATGAGGAGGAATGGATGTTGCAAACAGAGAAAATATAAAGGTGAACATGAATTACCCGTTATATAATGGGAATATCACCAGGATAGGTATATGAATGGAATCTTAATGGGGAAATACTGGGGGAATCATTGGGATATTACCCGGCCGGGTAATCTGTTACATAACTATTGAAATAGTGGATTTACCCAGCTAACAAATGGTGATTTTCCATAGTTATGTTAGTTTACCAGAGGGTAATGGGTTTGTCATCATGTTATATTGTGTTATATGAAATGTTATGTCTGGTTTAATGTTGTTTCCAAGTGATTGTTTATATGGAATAGGGTGATCTAATGAATATCATGTTTTGGCTGGTTGTTGGTGCAATGTGCCCATCTTGAAAAATGATGGAGTTCGTCAATGGGAAGGATCATCCCATATATGAAATGGAAAATAATCCATTCATGTTTGAAACCACCAACCAGAGATCAATAAGGTCACCATCAAGAAAGTCAACACCAATGTATACGAACTGAGGCCCCCCAGTTATATATTGGTTAAAAAACATTAGAAACATTAACTATAGTTGTTTATAGAACAGTTATAGAAAACATTTACTATAGGACACATTAACATAGGGATTATTACATTAAATTAGTAAAAAAACATTAAATATAGTTGTCTATAGTTACAATTGCCAACTTTATAACTTTACCCTAAAAAACATGGAGTTACGTGCACCAACTTAGCTTTCGAAACGTTGTAACAGGGGGGGCACGTTGTAAGCTGTTCGACCCAGTTTGCTGTAATTTCAAATTTCAATCCCTACACTTATATGGTCCCTAACGGTTATGGCCACGGGATTATAACAACTGCAACTAAGAGTATATGTTCATCACTTAAATGAGATTGTGTCTCGCCAGTTCTAAGCCACTTAGGAAGTTCTATATCATCAATGGGAATTCCAGAATCCTAAAATGGAGGTACTGTACCATATAAGGCCATATTTTGTGGAGTATTCCCTTACATGGCCCTTACATAGGCCTTATATATGGTAGGTACCTCCAATTTAGGTTCCATTGATATCACAACACTTATATGGAGGCTTCCAATCCCCCCAAATCATCCAGTCGTGTTAGACCATGAATTTTTATTGAAACAACCATGGCTTTGTTGGGGATGCCCCATGACTTAAGAATCCCCCCATATCACTTAAATTAGGTTTAGGATGGTTTTATACGCCAGTTGTGAGGTTATATATCACAACAACTATGTATATGTATATATATATATATCACTTTATATAGCTTATAAATGGGATCATAATTCCTACAACTAAGGTTGCACATATATATATATCACTGAAATAAAGTTTATTCAAACCTGCTACAAGTGTTAATTTGATAACGGAACTGTAGCAGTTCGGGGGCCTTCCCATGGCATTTTCATCCCATCTCACCTTGATCTGCTCTGGCGTTGGCACTGAAGGCTCGATCTCCTGTCGTCAGGGCAGGTGGGTAAAACCTTCGCAGGTTTGGGCAGCAAGGGTACCATCAGTGATAAGTTGGTTTATAAACATCATTAACTGCATTAACTATATATATGTATATATATACCATAAACCCAATCGTCCACCCTCTTACTTAAGTTAGCTTAAGGAATCCCGATAAAACATAGAACATATTCATTGTAGATTCCCCAAGTAGTGGATCCCATGGACATAATCCACATAAAAAAAACAACTTTGCTGACTAAGGGATATAGTGGACGTCAAGTGTCTTCATTTTACCAACACAACATGGAGGTTTGTTGGGTATGATACGGTATCATGGTGAATCTTAGATAAAGTACCTATCATTTTTTTGCTGCTTTGTACATTCTACCAGTGATAGCAAAAAATGAAAAATGACAGTATTAACATACAGTGTGAGGCCCCCAAACGATAGCGTTCAGTTGGTGAACATAACTTCAACAACGTTTGGGTTTATGACGTTTGGGTTTATGATACGCAAATAACTATAGTATTCATGGGGTTTATAAACCAACAAACATCACTGGGGGGCTCCACATTGTATCCAACAAAGGTTGACCCAGGTATTACCCTCTGGTAAACGTTTACAAAAAACTATGGAAAATCTCCATCTTTAATAGGTAAATCAACGAACGAAGTGGCCTTTTTCAATAGCCATGTAGCAAATTACCGGAGGGCAGAAGTTTCTTAAAATGGGTGATTGCCCCAAATCATTTAAAAAATATCTAAGTAACCAACAAAGGTTGCACCGGGTAACTGAGCTTAATCTGACCTTGCAGACGTGTACCATTCCTCCCCCTTTCACCTCTGCAGGCTCAGGCGCTGGGACAATCTCCTGAACCGCTGCCGGAAAGGTCTGATGGTTCGATGCTTCGTGGTTAAAATTGGTGATTTAACGGTGCATGGCCAATCTTAGATACCCTGCAAAAAATCACTTCTTAGTTGGTTAGTAGATAATCCCATTGATACCAAAAGACAAGTCAGGATTAGTTTCTACCCATCCAGTTGATTGACCTAGGGTGGAACATGTGGATTTAATGAGATATCAATGGTATTTTACTGGAGTATATCAGCAACTATAGATAGAAAAACAAAAACAACCGTAGATCAATTTTCCGAGCTGGAAATCCATGGGTTTCCATATGTTTGTTTACCGGAGTGTAGCTGGTTTGGTTACCATAATATGTATATATGATGATATATATATATATAAATGTGCTGGGTGGTATACCTACCCCTCTGAAAAACATGAGTTCGTCAGTTGGGATGATGACATTCCCAAAAAAAGAAAAACATGTTCCAAACCACCAACCAGATATACAATAGTCAGCTTTTATTGTAGCAACATACTAGTCAGTACCAGGAAACATATAAGTACCTCTCCAACTACTCATTGCTACCCATCCAATACGGCCTCGGGTCATTACCAATTTACACAGACCTTCAGTTGCTAAGTACCAACTGTCATGATCAATCTTTAGATAAATGCACCTGGATATTCCTTCCCCTTGACATCATCCTCCTCCACCTCACCTCCCGCAACATCATCATCCTCCACCTCATCTTCTGCACTATCATCCTCATCCTCATCCTCCTCAACATCATCATCCTCAACCTCATCCTCCACATCATCATCCTCAACATCATCGTCCGCAACATTATCCTCCTCCTCCTCCTCATCCGCATCCACATCCTCATCCTCATCATCATCATCATCCAACATGATCATACATTATCCTCTCTCACACACACACTGTTTGGGGTCTCTTGCCGGTGCAATCTTTGGGCATGACCTCAGACAAAAACAGTCAAACATATTCGAAATATGTGTGTGTGTTCCTGATTTGGATGTACTAATTAAGTGTAAAGTCATGTAAAGTCTACTATGGGAGACCTCTGGATATCCATCTTCAAACAAAGGTACGGAAGGATAAATTAGGATATACGGGCAGTGTTCAAAACCCGACATGTCATCCCTTGTACTTGTTGCTTGATAGGGGTGGAATTCAACACTCCCCCGATCACCGTCTCATTGAAGTAATCCCCGTAACAAATCAACCTGGGTTTAGGTCATTGTCGATACGTCGCAGGGCGGTCATGATACCTTACATACTCTGCTCAATATTTGATACCCTTAACACAAAAGATTTGTCAGATATTCCCATGTCTAGCAAAAGATTGAAGAAGTCAATAGTAGACATAGAAGGTTCACCTGATACCCTCTGGTTATTTAACATAGCCATGGAAAATGGCCCATTTATAGATGATTTTCCCATTAAAGCTTCCATTTATAAGGGATTTTCCATGGCTATGTTGAATAACCATATGGTATTTATATATATATATATATACATACCATGAATATTCATGATTCGTCGCTTAAATCCCCACTTTGTTTGGTATAGCAACTAGCACCCCCAGAGAATTTAATCATTTAATCCCATCCCTACATCCAGCATGGTTTCTGGGGGATGCTGATCCATATTTCAGTTGGATGATATGTATGATAAATGGTTACATATATCTGGGTAAAGGCCATAATATTTCACTAACCTGAATCTTGCGGCCATTTGGGGATGATTCCCCTTATTAACCATGATTTCCAGTGAGGGAGGACAGTGAGGTCGTTATAATTAACCCAGATATATTGATAATGTTCAATATGATCTAATGATTGTCCAAGTGCAACAATCATGTTCAGGATATAATTATTAGGATAAGATCGGACATGTTACAATGTTCATGTCTTCGTGCTGCTTCATATCGGAATATGTTTTATTCACTGATTGTTCAACCATGTTCAACGCAAGTCTTACCCAACAATTCACGAGTTGGTTTACACACGTAGTTTTGCCAACTCATCAAAAACAACTACCCTCTGGTTATTTAACATAGCCATGGAAAATCACAATTTTTAATCAGTAAACCATCTATTTCTATGGGCCATCTATACCATGGCTATGTAACAAATAACCAGAGGGGACATGGCAAAACTGGGAGGTGCTTTGAACAGAGGGATGGGATCCCCATGAAATTCCCATCCCCAGATATCCCCAGATATCCCCAGTTCCCGGCAATTCATCCCTCTTTTTGGGAGGAACATCACCATTTTTTATGGGAAAATCACCAGTATATCCCAGTATAACCACTAAAAATCGGCCATGTTCAATGGCAAAATCTCCACTTTTTTGGAAAACCCAGGACTTCTGCACCCAAACCCAGCCACCAGGCCGCACCTCGGTGGTTTCTGCCGCAGGTGTGACCGTCGGAACGACCTGTGACTGGAGGACAGGCGTCCGAAAGGTGGAGCCATGGAGATCCCATTGGAAAACCATGGGAAAAGCATGGGAAAACCATAGGAAAATGGTGATTTTTGTGGAAAATCACTATTTTTAATGGGTAATCTGTTAATATCTGTTACATAGCTACTGAAAATGGCCATAGAAATAGTGGATTTTCCCATTAAACATTGTGATTTTCCATAGTTTTTTGTATGTTTACCAGAGGGTAACGTGCCAAAAATGCTGGATGCACACAGCAATTTATGTTACCCTCTGGTTATGACTAACAGTTCGCCATGGAAGCCATGGCCCATAGAAATAGATGATTTTCCCAGCGAACTAAACCTCCATTTATGGTTGGAATTTTTCCATGGCTATGTTAAATAACCAGATGGTAATTTTAGTGGTAACAATGGTGGATAATGTCAGGAAAAAGCCATGAATTTCACCATAGAAACTGAGATGTAATCTGGAGACACATACATTGAACACCACAAAGGAATAGGTGAACAGAAAATCATTGGAAACAAAAAAACCCATAAACATTGACATTGTATATAATTTTGGGGTACAGACAATTTTCTTTCAAGAACCAGCAAGAAAAACCACGTTATCGCCTTTCTTTCCTGTTTTCTTCGAGGCGATTATGCAACTGTTTTAAAGGCCCGGTTTTTTTCGCCTTTGGTGAGCGCCAAAATTGCAAACGCGGCACACGAAGTCCATGAACTTCCGTTCAGAAAAAAGACTTCTGAGGATACGGTGCATCCACAGTATGTCCACAAACTGCTACTTCGCTTGATCGATGAACTGTCTGCATGGAATCCTGGAAATTCCTGGAAGACAAACAGCTGATGGAGATTCGTTTGACATTCTACACACTATTTTCAGATCGACCAAACCATTTGTTTTTGCAGACTCAGCTCTGTTGTCAATGGGAATTCCAGGATCCTAAATTGGAGGTACTGTACCATATAAGGCCATACTTTGTGGGGATATTCCCTGAAACTAAGGCCTTATATAGGCTTTGTATATGGTAGGTACCTCCAATTTAGGATCCTGGAATTTCCATTGATAGAACCTATTAATAATGCTGTGCATTTTTGTAATATATCTGATACCTGTCCCCATGTAGTGCTTTTTTGTAATATATCTGATATGTAAATTCAACATCCGTATATGTATCGATTCTTCCTTAATAATTATTATCAATGTGGAGGTCACTACACTGCCGGTGACGAGCCTCCTCGGGCCACACGCTAGCCACTAAAAGCTTCGCCACCAAAGGATTGCCCGGCGGTTTCTCTTCAAACTCCTCCAAGCCCCCGAAGTAGTCTGAGGCAGTAGTGCACTTCCGAGTCTGGGTCTGCCACATTTCCTCTTCAATGCTGTTGTGACCAAACCGCCTGCAGATATACAGAGAGTTTCGTTGTCCAACCCTCCACGATCGAGCTGCTTGTTGATCGATGACGGGATTCCAGGCTCCGTCAGTACACATTGGGAAGCTTCAGGAATGGCAAGGCCTACCCCGCCAGCTTCCTTGCTGAGCAGCAAGATGGCGACGTCTTCACATGCACGGAAGTTTGCCAATGAAGTATCCCGGGCTGTTGTCGTCATGCTCCCATCATATCTGAAGATGCTGATGCTGAAGGTTGCGATAGCTGCTTCCATTACAGCAGATAGCATATTCATGGACTGCGAGATGACTATATAGTCCTTTCTCCTGACGCCTGATGAGAATTTGTAGCCACATCCGCAGCCACTCCAGTTTGACCCCATGAGGTGAATTGCAGACTTGGCTCAGCGCGTGCTGCTTGGCGAATGGATGGATGCTCGCAGCAAGGACCTTAGACTTATATTAGTATACCCAATGTGGAGTGGATGCTGTAGTTAAGGCTTGGGTATTGGGCAAAAATGTGGACTTTGTCCGCTTGTCTGAAAAGCTTGTCTGGTAGCTTCACTGTAATATTTACAGTCATGAGATCTGGATACCGAACCGAATCGAACCGTTACCATGCTGTATTATAGACTATAGTTATCCCTATATATCCCTATAGATATTCCCATTGATACCAAAAGACTAAAGGATTTTTCAGTATCCATGTAAGATTGACCTAGAAACCATTTGTTTCTGCAGACTCAGCTCTGTTGTGCTGGGGAAAAAAACGGGCATCAATCCCCAAGGCCAATCCATATACAAGGTGAGGCCCCCCGGTATATGTTAGGGAATATCCCCACAAAATATGGCCTTATGGTACAGTAAGTCCAATTTAGGATCCAGGAATTCCCATTGATTATACTATGAAAACAATGGATACCCATAAGTACCAACTTAGAACCTAAGTATTCGCATTATAATAAGTTGAGTCATTACCCCCATGTTATAATCTGGTTGGTGGTTTCAACCCCTCTAAAAAATGAAAGTCAGTTGGGATGATTATTCCCAATATATGTACACATAAAAAATGTTCCAAACCACCAACCAGATAAAAAATATACAATTGATAATGGTTATATATAAATCATTATAAATCCCTATTAAATCCCATTAAATCCCTAATATGGGTATGGGTCAAAATTAGGTACCCCAAAATTATGGATGGTTAATACTAAACTAGACTAACATCTGTGGTCCCCTAGGTCTTCCATTTTGACCCACATCCATATAACCTAAGTTGGGTCATACCCCCCACAAACCCCGAAGACTTCACCAAGTTATGACCAACAAAACGCCCGCCTGGTTGGTGCCAGGAACCCTCGTTGCCTGGACGAGGACACCTTTGGTACTTGTGGGTGCAGTTCTGGTGGATTTTAATTGTTTATATGGGTAAATATATGGTCAAAAATATATAAATATATGTTTTTTTATGGTTTATATATGGTTTTGATTGGTTAATATATGGGTTTATTGGTTTATCAATGGGGTTATGTGGAAATTGTGATATACCTTCTATCACTATGGTTGTATATCCACTTACAAGTGGAACTGCACACGCACGTAGCCCTTAATAGTTCTTGCTATGTAAACCAGCTGGGTCCCAAAGGATAGGCTAATTAAACCAGCTGGGTCCCAAAGGATAGGCTAATTGGTTTAAAACTGATACGACTTGGAGTTTTGGTAGATATGTCTAGAATTAGATGGATCACCAACTTACAAATGGGGAGGTCACATTGCCATTTTCTATATGAAGCAATAAATATTCCAATGCAGACAAAAATATATAAAGCAAAACAATGTGTATATATATACATACGCGTATATTAATTTGTGAAACTCAGATATGAGGTAAACACTGATCATCAATCTTACACATATTTGTCCATCAGCCAAACGTATACAATACAATTACAACATACTGTATCTTTCTGTGAAATCCATACTTTCTTGCTTGGTAACATCCACATGGTGGTCAGTCAAACCCATTCCTTTGCTGCTTAAGGTTCACGTTTTTTGCGACCACAAGAAATCCCAAGACTTGGATGTCTCCGAACACAGGCTACCCGGCTACCCTATAAAAATCTGTTGGTCAATCATCATGTTCCCTTGATGGCTACAATGTGGTTGGCCCCCGTTCGATAGCGTTCAGTTGGTGAACATAACTCCAATGTCACTATGGTTTATGGTACTTATATGTACTTATAACTATAGTTACTGGGGCGAATCTAAACCAACTTATAACTGGGGGGCCTCACATTGTAGTTGATGGTATACCCCATTTTCAAACCCACACCGCACGTTTCTACTGGCCTGGCTCTCGGCGATCGCCTTCGGCGTCGCGCATTCGGCTGTTGGCCATGGGCTTGACCCCCATAGCATAGATCATAGTTATCTTACTTAAATAAACGATAAATCCAGATATTTCTTGGCTAAATCACTATTTGGAGGTTTCAAATCCATGAGAGTACCCCCAGTTCGACTTTCCAAATCATATTAGCACACGACTTTACATTGAAACCGGGCTAACATATGCTAACATAGGTTAAAATGGGATCCCCCATGATTTACCCACCCCGTTTAACCACAGTTTTTTTTACCACAGTTTTTGGATTAACCACAGTTAAAATATGCTAAATAGGATTAACCACAGTTTTTTACCTTTCCAAAATCATCATCATCATCATCATCATCAATAATGATAGTAATAGATGATAGTGGATATTAACACTAATAATCATAGTAGTACTATTATCGATACTTATCATCATCATCATCATCATCAGCATCATCACCATCGTCATCATCATCCCATAGTAGTAACCACATAGTTTCCCATAATGATCCCTTAATCAATTCATAATCATCCCATTAAAATCCAATCATCACCTTTCTCTCTCAAATTCCATCCACTTTCCCAGAGTTTTTTTCCCCGTGAAGCACCCGACGGTCCACAGAAACGAAAGAAGAAAAACCCACCTTGGGCGAATCTCCAGGTTCGACGCGTCGAAAGGGGCCCTGAGAGCTGCACCCTGGATGTGTATGGATATGTTTATTTACAACAAAGAGAGATATATATATATATACACATATACATATGTATAAATACATATATATATATATAAGAGGGGGGTTTCTAAAAATGGTGGATCCCCAAAACGATAGGATTCAATTCTGAAATGTTATTTTGGATGCTTCCGGGTACTCCCATGTTAGGAAACTGTCAGCGATCAATTGCTACTGGACAGCCCAGGTCTACTAACGCAATAGCTCGGTTAAGTGGGGTTCATGAAGGATACCCTCTGGTAATTTAACGTAGCTATTGAAAATGGTGATTTATAGTGGATTTTCCTATTAAAAATGGTGATTTTCCATAGTTATGTTAGTTCACCAGAGGGTAATTGCTTTTTAAATCAACTTCTGACTGAAGGGCCTCAACTTGTCTTGTTGGGCCAACAGGACTTGTTTTTCTCCAGGTTTTCAAACCCATTTACCCTCAAGTAATCTAACCTGGCCTATGGAAAACACCAATAAATGATGGTTTTCTTGCTACACAAGCTGTCTGCCAACATTTGTCAGTGGTGACAGTGTGGGGGCGCCAAGACAACAGTTGGTTGATAAACCCATCCAGTATACTACTTTAAATATACCGGTAGCCACCTTGTTACCCCATCTGCTAGCCTATCTATCAATGAATTTACCCCTTTCAAAAAGTCATCTATTTTGTTGGTTCATCATGTGCCTCCATTTGCAGGGGGAAACGCTACTCCACTGATCTACTTTTTACCCAGGAAATCCCAGTGATCAACCAACTGAACATGTTCCATGTTGGTCAATACTTGGATGACACCCCAGGAATAGTAGGTGGGTACTGTAAAAACCATCTTAGTCCATCCAGTTGCATATGTATATGTAAATGTATATGTAAATGTAAATGTATATGTATAACTGTATAAATAAATATATATGTATACATATATATATATATACACATACATTTAAGCGTTGATGGGCCAACAAACATATCATATGTGACTATACTATATATAGAGAGAGCAGTGTCGCGCTTGGTACCAGTGTGAATCTCGTGATCTGTGGAGATACATTGCGGCCAGGGATATACACCAAGTGATCCGCTTCGTACATGGCAACACACTTGTCAACCAGAGAATCAACCGGAGCATTGTCCCCGCAGGAGACGCCCTTGCTGCGCCTTGCGAAACAATATGAATGACATCGCCCATCCACCCACACGCACGGGTCAGGCAGGACCTTGGCGATCAAGTCCACGAGTTCACCGTGGCTCACATGCTCGCAGTCTCCATCCTGCAAGAGTGACTGCATAAGCTTCATGGAACAAACGGCGCAAGTGCGCAGTCTCAGCCAAATCTGGAGTACGCTTGAGCGCAGTCTTGAGCATGTCCAAAAGTGTCTTTTTGGTCAGCAGTGCCAGGGATGTATGCACACGAGAAAGCGAAGGTGGCGATGCTAGTGAAGCCCGCATCTTTCAAGGGCTGCAGCACCTTTACATCCAAGCCAATTTCCTTTGCCCAGCTGCTAAAAACAGCATCACTCTGCGAAACAATATTATCTTAAAACATAAAAACGGTTAAACATATTTTGCAATTCATATCTCGTGTGTAGATGGGTAATAGTACCCCCAAATAACTAGACGACGGATGGCCCGAGAGCGTGAAGGAGCAGGGTCTTCTCTTGTTAGTATGGAGACACCATATTACAAAACAATATATTGAAATGTGTTATAGGCAGTCGAGAAAAGGAGTATCAAGACAATATAGCACAAGTACAAGACAATAGTTTGCATCACAAACACTTTTACACACAGAAGCTTTTACACACAGACGCTTTTACACACAAAAGCTTTTACACACAGAAGCTTTTACACACAGAAGCTTTTACACACAGACGCTTTTACACACAGAGGCTTTCACACACAGGCACTTTTACACACATACACTTTTACACACAGGCGCTTTTACACACAGACAGTTTTACACACAGACGCTGTTACACACAGACGCTTTTACAGAGACGCTTTTACACACAGACAGTTTTACACACAGACGCTGTTACACACAGACGCGTTTACACACAGACGCTTTTACACACAGACGCTTTTACACACAGAAGCTTTTACACACAGACGCTTTTACACACAGACAGTTTTACACACAGACGCTGTTACACACAGACGCTTTTACACACAGGCGCTTTTACACACAGACAGTTTTACACACAAACACTTTTACACACAGACGCTTTTACACAGACGCGTTTACACACAGACGCTTTTACACACAGACGCTTTTACACACAGAAGCTTTTACACACAGACGCTTTTACACACAGACGCTTCCACACACAGGCACTTTTACACACATACACTTTTACACACAGACGCTTTTACACACAAAAGCTTTTACACACAGAAGCTTTTACACACAGAAGCTTTTACACACAGACGCTTTTACACACAGACGCTTTCACACAGACGCTTTTACACACATACACTTTTACACACAGACACTTTTACACACAGACGCTTATACACACAGACGCGTTTACACACAGACGCTTTTACACACAGACGCTTTTACACACAGAAGCTTTTACACACAGAAGCTTTTACACACAGAGGCTTTTACACACAGAAGATTTTACACAACAGACTCTTTTACACACTGACGGTTTTACACACAGACGCTTTTACACACAGAGGCTTTTACACACAGACCCTTTTACACACAGACGCTTTTACACACAGAGACTTTACACAAAAAAGCTTTTACACACAGAAGCTTTTACACACAGAGGCTTTTACACACAGAAGATTTTACACAACAGACTCTTTTACACACTGACGGTTTTACACACAGACGCTTTTACACACAGAGGCTTTTACACACAGAAGATTTTACATACAGAAGCTTTTACACACAGAGGCTTTTACACACAGAAGATTGCACACACAGAAGCTTTTACACAGACGCTTTTTACACAAACGCTTTTACACACAGAAGCTTTTACACACAGACACTTTGACACACAAACAAATCGCAATTTTACCTCAGTTTTTGGCGATCGACCATCATTTCTTGCGAAACGGTTTTGCAACAGGAACCCGGAAATCGTACTTTTACCTCAGTTTTTGACGATCGAACCTCATTTCGTGCGAAAAGGTTGCGCCGGACAAGTTGAAATCGCAATTTTACCTCACGAAGACTGTATGCTTAAAGTTATAAGACTTTACAGACTTAGCCTAGATATACAGAAGTTAAAGGATTTATGTTGGAAGTTAACATGACTTATCAAAAAGATAAAAGGAAGTTATGTTAACTTTAATAACTTATTTGTAAGTTTTGTCTTAACTTTTTATAACTTCTGCTAACTTTTTATAACTTCTGCTAACTTTTTATAACTTTTCATAACTTTTTGTAACTTTTTGTAACTTTTTTGTATATTTTTATACTTTTGAAAGTCTTTGCCTTGGTTTCCGACCACGTGGATTTTATAACTGTCTTGTTTCTGAAAGAACTTTCAGATATGATATCCTTTTTTTGAATCGACGAAGTGATGTGAAAGCGTTTCAGTTATGTATGTTTCAGGAATCATGACACCTGAGGCGATATGTTTTTTTTAGTGATATCTCTGTCTGTATTTTTGGATCTGGAAACAAGTTTAGTTGCAACTGTTCCCGTTCGGGATCCGTTATTTTGTTAAAACGATCCCGTTCTGAACTATAGCTATTTTTGTCTGAACTATAGCTATTTTTGTCTGAACTATAGCTAGTTTTGTCTGAACTATAGCGACTTTTATTCTGAACTATAGCTAGTTTTGTCTGAACTATAGCCATTTTTTTCTGAACTATAGATATTTTTGTCTGAACTATAGCCATTTTTTTCTGAACTATAGCTATTTTTATCTGAACTATAGCTATTTTTGTCTGAACTATAGCTATTTTTGTCTGAACTATAGTTAGTTTTGTCTGAACTATAGCGACTTCTATTCTGAACTATAGCTAGTTTTGTCTGAACTATAGCTATTTTTGTCTGAACTATAGCCATTCTTTATCTGAACTATAGCTAGTTTTATCTGAACTATAGCTAGCTTTATCTGAACTATAGCTGAACTATAGCTGAACTATAGCTGAACTATAGCTGAACTATAGCTGAACTATAGCTGAACTATAGCTGCACTATAGCTGAACTATAGCTATCTAGGGACATTTATAGGGGAAAGGTTGAAAATCGAAGAATTAATCCTTTTCAGAAACTGTCTTCTCAGACCGGATCCTTCTCAGGAATTGTCATTTCAGACTCTTTCCTTTGCAGGAACTGTCTTCTCAGACCGGATCCTTCTCAGGAACTGTCTTCTCAGACCGGATCCTTCTCAGGAACTGTCATTCCAGACTATTTCCCTTTCAGGAACTATCATTGCCCTCTTGTAAACATATTTTTAACTTTATATAACTTTATACTAACTCTTTGTAACTTTTATAACTTTTTATAACTTTTTATAACTTTTGTTAACTTTCAGATAACTTATGATAACTTTTCCTACATACTTATGTTAAGTCTGTTAACATAGTTATAAAAAGAAAACATGCAGTTAAGATACTTACGATAAGTTCATTAACCATTTATATTTTACCTAAACATTTACAACTTCTCGTAGCCGGCTAGCTAAACTTACAAATTACTTATCAAATGTTATGACATTTTACATACTTGCAAGCAGGTTATAGACATGTTATAGAAGGTTTATATACATGTTGTAACTCGTCTAATTCTGTAAACTCATATAACTTCCAGCGTACAGTCTTCGCAGTTTTTGGCGATCGAACCTCATTTCGTGCGAAAGGGTTGCGCGGGACGACTTGAACTCGCACTTTTACCTCAGTTTTTGGCGATCGACCATCATTTCGTGCGAAAGGGTTGCGCCGGACGACTTGCAAATCGCAATTTTACCTCGGTTTTTGGCGATCGAACCTCATTTCGTGCGAAAAGGTTGCGCGGGACGACTTGAACTCGCACTTTTCCCGCAATTTTTGGCGATCGAACCTCATTTCGTGCGAAAGGGTTGCGCCGGACGACTTGCAAATCGCAATTTTACCTCAGTTCTTGGCGATCGAACCTCATTTCGTGCGAAAGGGTTGCGCGGGACGACTCGTTGGCACTGCCCCTGCTCCCGCCTTCAAAAGAGAAATAGAAAAGAAGGAGAGGGCAAGAGGGCAAGAGGGCAAGAGGGGAAGATGGCAAGAGGGGAAGATGTGAGATGAGAAGAGAAGATGTGAGAAGATGTGAGAAGATGTGAGAAGATGTGAGAAGATGTGAGAAGATGTGAGAAGATGTGAGAAGATGTGAAGATGAGAAGATGTGAGAAGATGTGAAGATGAGAAGATGTGAGAAGATGTGAGAAGATGTGAAGATGAGAAGATGAGAAGATGTGAGAAGATGTGAGAAGATGTGAGAAGATGTGAAGATGAGGAGAAGATGAGAAGAGGAGGAAAAGATATGAGGATGAGAAGATGTGAAGATGAGAAGATGTGAAGATGAGAAGGTGTTTTACAGACCCCCACTATTGGAAGAACCCTGCGCTCAGACGCTCTCGGGAAAATCAAGCAATATACCAGAATGTACCGCTAGTTGAGGAGGGATTTCACGTTTCAACGGTTTGGTTCAAGGGAAATTTCAACTGGAACCATGGTTTCTGCTTCCAAATTGATGGTTTCCTGCACAGGTTTCCTTTACCCCTGCAAATGCCATTGTTGGCTATATCATGGCCAATCTTAGATACCCTGCACACTGCACACAATTAAATTCTTATAGTTGCTTAGTAGACAATCCCATTGATACCAAAGACTAAAGGATTAGTTTCTACCGCTACCCATCCAAGATTGACCTAGATATCCCATGATATTCCATTACCTCCGACATCTTCGGTCGTGATTTCCCACAGGGCTTCCCCGCATGCGACGCTGCACGACGAGGAACCGGCCTCTCGTGCAGCAAAGACTTGGAGGTTTCGGTTTTGTCTCGGTACCCCAAGTCTCATGCAGTCGTCATGGATGACCATGTTTTTTGGTATTGAAACTGGTGACAGCTGGGGATGCCTATTGAAACTCATGGTGACAACTGGGGATCCCTATTGAAACTCGTGGTGACAACATGTGACAACTGGGGATCCCTATTGAAACTCATGGTGACAACATGTGACAACTGGGGATCCCACATGACTTAAGAAACCAACATTTGATGTCTCAAAGGATGTTAAATTCCTCGTGGCTATAATCGGCCCCAAAAAAAGTGGTTGGAGCAATGCTAAGGGTGGCTGGTTTCACGTAAGGTGTTGCCCAGCTTGTTCGCGAAGTGGCCTTGAGTAGGTTCTTGCGGGGTTTTCCATAGGGGTACCCCCAAAAAGGGTTGGTTTCTAATGGACAATCCTATCAAAATGGATGATTTAGGGGTACCCCCATTTCAGGACACCTCCATACAATGGTATACAATTCTGATTTATGGTAAATATGTCAAACCAGGGCATGATAAACAAACATAACTGAGGGGGCACTGCAGCGGTGGCTAGTTTCACTTTGTGGGCTTTTGGGACTTTTAATAATGTGGGTAAAACAATAACCACATTATATCTGGGCTTATGGGATTTTCAATATCTATATATATATAATATATATATATATTCCTTCTTGTCCGCCAATTGTTCCTCAGGGGACCCTTTGCTCTTCGGTTTTTCACGGGTCTTCTTGATGGTCTGAATCTTGACACCAAGTTGAACTGCGTACTGCGTTGATCTGCGTTGGCGCCAAGATTCATCTCCAAGGACTGTAAGACAAAAGGCAATGATGCAGTCATTCTCCATCTCTGGAGTAACTTGGGTAGAAGGGTTGGTTGAAGCGACTTCGAAGAGGATGAAGAAACATGAGCAAACGTGGCAGGCGGAAACGCACAAACCCGAGAAGTTTTGAAAAAGGTTTTGAACCAAAAAACCATCCACTCTTTGTAACCCAACTTTGAGTGCTTTAGCACAAGTAATCTGGGTAAATTATAATATTTCACTAACCTGAATCTTGCGGCCATTTGGGGATCATATCCCTATATCTAAACCATGATTTCCAGTGAGGGAGGACAGGGTTCGGTCGTGATGAAATTTACCCAGAAGTAATGTCATTGCTCTGGCTAAAAGTTTTTCCTCAAGCTCTGAACAACGTCCTGCCAATGAGTAAATCCGCAGCATATCCTGCCAGTAGTTCCCCATTAGATGTTATCCTGCTAATATTAATAGTAACCGTTACAAATTAGTAATAGTTTCCCAGTATAGGAATAAAACTAAAATCAAAAAATAGTGATCGCGACACTGGGGAAATATTAGCAATGCTTTCCCCATCTGATAGATATTTCACCCAGTTTTTTTCGTACTGTGGATGGGCCAGCGAAATCCTGCACCACCAACCGGATGGTTGAAACCCCAAAATAATGGGATGTTTACCATCTATGAACTGGTGATTCGGATTTCGCTGGCCCATCCACCGTGTTGTGTCCAGGACAGAAGTCAGAACACAAAAAAAACGTTCAATACCATTAATATTGATACCAGTAATAGCCATTACTATTACCCTCTGGCAAACATACAAAAAACTATGGACAATCACAATTTTCAATAGGTAGATCCACTATAAATCACCATTTTCAATAGCTATGTTAAATTACCAGATAGTATTAACTGGTGCACAATGTGGTGCCCCCAAGATAGCTAAGTTGGTTTATAACTTTAATAACTAGGACTTATGGTAGATATATCGAACTAGTTAATGGGATTATAAACCAACATTCACATCACTGGGGGGGCACCACCTTGCAGGATTTCGCTGGCCCATCCACAGTAGTAATCCAGCTGGCTTCATTCCTGATCCCCGTCTCCTGCTCTCCATCCCTGACGTTGTCGCGACGTCGTTCCCGCCTTCGCTCCTGTCTCTCACGCAACCAACGCTGCTCTTCCTAGCGGCCGAGGTAGAGCTTGATGGATGCGAACTGGACATCACATATACATATATATATATATACCCTGGGTATATATATATATATATGTGGCAGGGACCTTTGGGGTCTATTTCGTTCCTTCCCACACAAACGTAATCAAACGTAATTCTATTTGCATATATACTATATACATAAGTAAATATGTCTACATGTGTGTACAAGTTCAACAGAAAGTCGCAATTTTTCCCTTCCCCCTCAACCTGCGCAGCGTCCGTTTTCTGCTCCAAGAGATGCTGTCACCAGCACGCGCGAACGCACGCCAATTTGAACTCTGGGCAGAAGAGTCCTCCAGTGTCAACTGTGTTGTTTTCCATCCCTGCAAGCTACAAAGTTTGGGAATGCGCATGCAAGTTTGGAACTCTTGTGCGCTCATGCATGGGAATGTTTTGGCTGTCAGGAGTTTGTAGTTGTTCAACTGGTTGCATGCTTAGTAATAAGCATAGTTTTATAGAAAAAACACCTTAAAGGAACCTCACGGGCATGTAACACAAGCAACAAAGCAATGCAAACATGTTCCACCACTTCCACCTGTAGTGATGAAGAGGGAGGGTGATGGCGGCCAACCCCCTTCATTTTGTCATACTCATCACTTCATTGTTTTTGGCCCCGCTGTCGTCCCCTCTCAGGATCCTTCGAATGAAGAAGAGTTGCAAAAGCAGACCTTGGACCTCTTGGTGAACTTTGCATACAGGCTGCAGATGGATGGCCTGATGCCTGACCTGCCAGAACAGCCACCAGGTGAGCCCAGTAGTGGATCTGGTTTTCTGCGAGAAGTGGAAGGTTCCAAAGCCAAACACCCAGGTGCACCACTACTTGAAGCTTCTATGGCAATGGCACCTGGCCCAAGTCCAGGTATCTGCGCGTCTTCACCAGCCAGTGCAACTACGGTTTTGCCAGTTCAACCTGATGTTGGTTTGTTGGCACCTGCCACTGCTGAAGTACCCCTCTGAGGCTTCAGCAGCATGGCATGCATCCCCAAAGAACTACCTGGTCCAGTTCCAGAAGCAATGGGGGAGGTCGACCTGTACTCCTGACCAGGTGAAGAAGCTTCTTTATTGCACCAAACAAAAAGGCTCTCAGGCTTCGACTGGGTCTTCGTCTACTCAAGATGTATCTGATAGGAAATTCATACATTTTCTCAAGCATCATATGTTTCTATGGTTTTGCTTTCTGTGTGGGATTCAAGTTTCTTGATCTATGCATTTAGTATTGTTCATTCTCAAGTACCAGAGTTCGTGCCTCCTCGAGGAACTTCTAGTGGAGGTTGGTTCAGGAAAGTTTCTGGGCTAGTAGTTGCTTGGAAGCTTGGAGAAGTGCACAGGATGAGATGCCTACTATAACGATGGGAAGAAGTTTCACGGGTGAAGGCGTATGTGGCAGCTTTGGTGGGCTACGTCAAAAAGTGTGGACGGCAAAAGAACTTGGAGGGTGAGTATGGCTTCAACACTTGTACTCGCTTAAGATCTTACTGACTCCAGCAAAGCCTGGGTGGTGAAAAAAAACCTTATATCAAACTATCAAACAGTAAGAATTTCAATTCTGTTTCTAAATTGAAAATCAAGCAGTCGCAATTTTCAATTCAGAAATCGAAATTGAAAATCTACCAGTCACCATTTCAATTCAGAATTTAAATTGAAAATCAAACAGTCGCCATTTAAATTCAGAAATCTAATGGAAAATCAAACATTCACCATTTCAATTGAGAAATCTAAATTGAAAATCAAACACTCGCCATTTCAATTCAGACAGTCTCCATTTCAATTCAGAAATCTAAATTGGAAAACAAACAGTTGGCATTTCAATTCAGAACCTTAACTTGAACCTACAATAGTATATTTTACTTTTCAGATTTTGATATTAATTTGGATTACTATTTGGCACAACTAACATAATATAATGTAGTTTTTACATAAGCAGCCTTTAGGGCTTTCATTTTTAAGCCAAAAAGCACATTGATGCTTTCATTTTTTGAAGCTGTCACAAGTATAGCACATTGATGCTTCAGGTTTTGGTGTTCCATTAGTGCATCAGACATGTGTCCTTTGCATTTTTCTTGTCAAGGTGTAAGCTGTCAGGATGTCCAGTAATAGGGGTCAGGCACGGGGTTCAGCCACTGATCCAATGGTATCTCGACAGTTTCGAACCTGGACCTCATCCAATGGATGGAAGAGCCTCTGTTATGTGGAGATTCATCAATCAGGTTTTGATTCTTGATTACCAGGCTGAAATTCATCATGTTTTTAAAGCATACGGGAACTCAGGTAGTATGAGGAGAAGTAAACAAATTGCTCGCTTGCTCAGGCAGGATGCTCTTGAGCACTTCAAGCAGAATGAAGGCCCACATCTTTTGCCTGCCAGCCTGAAGAACTTGATCAAAATCAGTTACATGTTGGCTGGGGTCCCTGTTCCTTCTGGCGATGCTATCTGCGCCTGATAGCTGCAGCTGTATGCCCATAGTGCATGGCAAGCCTGGATGAAAACATACTTGGGTGGAATCAAAATACTGTGGGAGGAGAAAAAATATTTAAAAAAAACACCATGTGGTGTACTTGTTTTTTTCTGGCCCAGTGGCCTTTCCTGCTATTTTGAAACTATTGTGGTTTATGCCCAAGGGGCTTTCATGTAAAGGTCCAGGGTTGGGTATGAGAGCCCACTGAGATTTATATGCTTCTAACCTTAAAGGGTCCCAGAACCCATTTCCACCTACTCTTGCTAAAGGTTTTGCTGATAGGGCTTTCATTTTATTGTGTAAACTAAATTGTTTCTGCCCAAAGGGGCTTTCATGTAAAGGCTTAAACTCCTTTATCCCATGCCCAAAGGGGCTGTCATAATTCTAACTTTGAAGGTTAGCAGAATCAATTCTCTTCTGCTTCTGCTGCAGTGGGCCCATAGGAATTATGAGCTCACCTTAGCCTAGATCCTTTGATCACCATGGCTACTTGGGACGTTGAGGACTTAGTCAAGGAGATTAGTGATATGGAAGCGATTTACCAAAGGAACGCTGGTTCACAGCTGGTGCCACGAATGCAGGAAGCTTTGCAGTCCAAAGTGAACGGTGTCCAAATGCTCACTGCTTCTAACTTCTTGAAGCGTCCTGATGCTGTTCAAAATGGCATCTTGACTGCTGACACGAAGGCAGAGTTGCAAGCATTTCTCGAATCAAGGGCAGCCTCTTCAATCCAAGGGGCCACCAGGTTGCAGGCTACACCTCAAAGCATGACCACGCCTTGGAACTACTTGTCCCAAAGCGAATGGCAGCAGATGCAGAATGGCATCAACACAGTTGATGCTACCCACATGCTGATCAAAAGAATCAAAGTGTGTGGGTTGAAAAGCCTCAAAGAAGACACCAAGAAGTACTTGACATCCTTTTTGGTCAGCCTTCAGGTGAAATCACCAATGTCATGCCTCCAGTTTTTGAAATGTACAAATTTTGTGCTGGATACGTTCGAGGCTGTGGTGGCTCAACCTCTGCATGCTGGTTTGGCAAGGTACCCACCTAGCCCCCACGACATTGGGGAGGCACTGGGTTTGTCAAATCTTTGGTGATGGCTGCTTTCAAGCTGATAATTTTGAAGTCAAAATTTAGCCATGACATAATCCCTGAACACACACACACATGGACACGTATACATATTTCCATTTGAACATGAACACTTGCGGGCTTTCTGCTTGCTCGCTACCAGTCATATGATAAACCTTGGAAGCATTGCCAAGAAAGTCACGGTGAGCGGAACTGCCAAGGAACTCAGGGCTGTGGCCACTCCACAGGCAACCTCTCAGCAGTTGCCAGCAGAGCCTTCGACAGGGAAAGATCCTACAAATGGAGAAACAGGCCAGAGCTTTGGATGCCTTGAGCCAGAAAATCTTGAACAATGATAGCTTGGAGGAGCCTGCTTCCAGCAACTCCTTGCTCTCAGATGGGGCCGGCCCAAGGGACTCCACCTCTTTGACTCCCAAAGCTTTGCCGGCAGTTCCAGCTGTTTTGCCTCTACCTGCGCCTTCTGACTGTGCTGCACCTGCTGGAGGACATGATGGCACCCAGGCAAAAGCCTTGAGGACTATGAAGCTGAGGCCAAACACATGCTCACCAAGAGGAAGGGCAATGATTTGGATACTGCCATGAAGAGGCCAGCTACTAAGAAAAACCTAGCCAAAGCAGAGCCCAAGCAAAAGGCCATTGTGAAGAAGAATGCTGAGGAAGCAAAGCATGTCACACCAGCTTTCCCCAAAGGAATCTATGGATGTGTCAGATGCCGTGGCAGTGTGAGTGGCTGTGACAAGTGCCAGTCTCCCTACTTTGGGGGGACTCAGTCTCAGTTCAAGACAGGAATACAACAAGTGGTACAAGAAAAGCCGCAGGGGAACAAAAGGAAGTGTAAACATTTCCTTGGTCTGACAAAAGATCGTGGGCTGCCTTGTGGCAAATAACCATGCAAACACCGCAATGGTAAATCATACAGGCAGTGGGGGAAAACAGAAACGCTTAGGCTTTCTCTGGACATGCTTATCGAGACATATTTTCCAGCATGAAAGCAAGTGGCCACTAACTTGCAGTGCTGCCCTTGGTTCTGCTTGTTGTTTTTCAGTTTTGGCTTCAAGAGCTATCATTTGAAATCCGTTTGCCTGCAAGGGCTTTTTTGTTTGAATCAGTAGTACAGCATTGTGGGCACAGCTGTCTGCAAGGCTACTGCATGAAGCAAGGCCTGGCCCAAGGCAATGTGTGCCAAATCTGCAAATGACATGTTTGGAGGCCATGTTAGCAGCAGGTTCCACAGCAGGCCATGGAACACTAGTTTTTGCCTTTCACACAGTCATACTCCAACATTGTCTCAAGAAATGCTTCCAGCCAGCCATGCCAGACTTTCCAAAATTGCAAAGTTTTAGACAGAGAATCCCATTTTGCAGCCAGTCAGCCCTTGAAGCCATATTGACTTTGGCAGCCCAGGAAGGCATTCCTGCCAGCCACAAAAGGAAACAAATCAGAGAGTTTGTTGAGCAGGTCATTGCTGGCCTTCAGCTATGATTTTGGAAGAGGACCCTGTGGAATTGGCATTTGCCAACATCTTTAGCTATTTGGCTGCTGCTTATGCAGCTGGTGGCTGCTTTGCGGATTATTTGGACAAGGTACATGACAACAACCCTAGTTCCTTCAACAACCCTTGGTCTTGCATTCTTTATGTAGATGAACTGCACCCTGGAAACCAATTGGCAGGGAATTCTAGGAATACATGGGCAATTTACTGTTCATCTGCCCAGTTTGGGGCCACGCTGTCAAATTCTGAAAGTTGGTTGACATTGCTTGGGGAGAGGAGTAAGCAAGTCTCACAGCTGGCAGCCAGCATTGGCCAATGTTTCAGGTTGATCCTGGAGCACACGTTTGACAACAAATATGCTCATCCTCATTCCGGGGTACTTTTACAGGGAGGTCCTAAAAGACTGAAACTCTCTGTGGGATATTGCAACAGACCAAGAAATCCTGTTCTCGTGGGCAAGGATGCAAGAGAGGAGCACAGCTTGCAACAAAACCGAGTTCAGAAGGTGGAGCCAGGCTTCTGGGGTTGATTATTCCCAGCATTCACTCTTGCTGAGTGACAAGCTGAAGTCCCAGAACCTTCTGAGACCAATCACCCAATACATGCATGATCATATGCATGGGCTCTGCCCAAATGGTGTGCTGAACTGGGTATTTTTTTTTGTGGATCCAACCGCTTGCTTCCAGTGGTGTGGCTGAGATTTGGAAGGCACATGGCTTTGTGCAACTTTGGGCCCAGCCTGCCATTCACAAATGCAATTTGCAAAGGTTATTTCTGCCCAAAGCAGTGGAAGGCCACAAAAAAGCTGGGAAATTCAAATGCTCATCCTCAGAGATTCTGGGTCTGTACCAGGTGCTGGCACACTATGTCCAAATTTGCTGCTTGCCAATGGCATTTGTCTTCTGGGGCCAACTTGCTCTTTGGCTTGGTGCAAAGTTTTGGATTATTGCCTATCCATCCCTGCTTTGAAAAAGCCTGACCACAAGCAATTGCTTTCATTTGTTGAAGCAGCATTGGAGGCAACTGTTGCAGCTGACTGGTCTGAAGAATTCGAGCCAAAGATGCACTGGTCACTTCATATTATAGTCAAAGTCTCCAGAGGCATGGCCAATTACCTGCATGCTGGACCATGGAAAGGAAGCACAAAGGCATTAGAAAACATGGGAATGTCTTGTGCAACACTACCCATTGGGAAACTTCTTTGATGAAGTCTGTCATTGCAGAGCACATCTGTACATTGGGTGAAGAGTCAAGATTGTTAGAGAAGGCACCTGCCTACAAAATGCAAAGGGGGCCCCACAAAGAAGATGACGGCATTCCTATGCAATGCTGGCGTGGTTCCTGTGGGAATGCCTTGCATGCAGAGCTCTTGTTGTAAACTTTTTTCTGGTGCAACAATTACTTCTGGTGATGTTGTCTGTTTGCACAATGTGGATGGAGGCTCACCAGCTTTCAATGCAGCTCAAGAGCATTGCTTTTTGAAAGTCCCATGTGGTGATGTGGCCCTTGTCGAAAAATATTTGTTCCAGGAAATTTCAAACAAACACAATGTTTCCAAATGGACAGTGGCGGTGCCCAGAAATCCGGGTCTTGCTTCTTTACAAGAAATCTCGTGTGCAGTCACTTACAATGCTGCCAAAGGCAGGGTGACATGCCTCACCCCTGCATTCTTGCAACTTTGAAGGGACATGCAATTTCCATCCACAGCAAATGTCTTTGGAAAACAAGCTTCGGTGGTATGCACAACAGCCGCAACGTTTTATTTTTACTAATCTTTCTGAAGCCTGCTGCAAAGCCAACCGCTGGAAACACTTCAGCTGGGTTTCCGTGAGTTAAATGGCCACAAATCCTGTTGAACTTCACCTCACTCTGCACCAAAGCCTCCCGGAACCTTCTCCGGAACCTTCACCAGAACCCTGTTGAACCTAACCTGGCTCTGCACCAAAGCCTCCCGGAACCTTCTCCAGAAACCCGGAGCCCTGTTGAGCCTGCCCTGGCTCTGCACCAAAGCCTCCCGGAACTTTATCCGGAACCCTGTTGAACCTACCAAAAGGCTCTGGAGGATTAAAAGGATTAAAAGGATTAAAAGGATTAAAAGGATTAAAAGGATTAAAAGGATTAAATCATTTAATCCGTTTAATCCTTTTAATCCCCAAAGGGCTCTGGAGGATTAAAAGGATTAAATGGATTTAAATATATTTCTCAAGGGCTTGGACCGGGAATTCCGGACCCCCTGGAGGATTAAAAGGATTAAAAGGATTAAAAGGATTAAAGGCATTAAATCATTTAATCCTTTTATTCCTTTTAATCCACCAAAGGCTCTGGAGGATTAAAAGGATTAAAAGGATTAAAATGATTAAAAGGATTAAATGCTTGGTCCTCACATTGGGGTTCTGGGGGCTCTGGAGGATTAAAAGGATTAAAAGGATTAAAGGGAATAAAAGGATTAAATGATTTAATACTTTTAATCCTTTTAATCCCCCAAAAGCTCTGGAGGATTAAAAGGATTAAAAGGATTAAATCATTTAATCCTTTTAATCCATTTAATCCCCCAAAGGCTCTGGAGGATTAAAAGGATTAAAAGGATTAAATTATTTAATCCTTTTAATCCATTTAATCCTCCAAAGCCTCTGGAGGACTAAAAGGATTAAAAGGATTAAATGCTTGGTCCTCACATTGGGGTTCTGGGGACTCTGGAGGATTAAAAGGATTAAAAGGATTAAAGGGATTAAAAGGATTAAATGATTTAATCCTTTTAATCCTTTTAATCCCCCAAAAGCTCTGGAGGATTAAAAGGATTAAAAGGATTAAATCATTTAATCCTTTTAATCCATTTAATCCCCCAAAGGCTCTGGAGGATTAAAAGGATTAAAAGGATTAAATGACCGTTTAATCCCCCAAAGGCTCTGGAGGATTAAAAGGATTAAAAGGATTAAATCATTTAATCCTTTTAATCCTTTTAGTCCTTTTACTCCCCCAGAGATCTGGAGTCTAAGGCCCAAGCATTGGATTTAATGATTTAATCCTTTTAATCCTTTTAATCCTCCAAAGCCTCTGGAGGATTAAAAGGATTAAAAGGATTAAATGCTTGGTCCTCACATTGGGGTTCTGGGGGCTCTGGAGGATTAAAAGGATTAAACGGATTAAATCATTTAATCCTTTTAATCCATTTAATCCCCCAAAGGCTCTGGAGGATTAAGAGGATTAAAAGGATTAAAAGGATTAAAAGGATTAAATTATTTAATCCTTTTAATCCATTTAATCCCCCAAAGGCTCTGGAGGATTAAAAGGATTAAAAGGATTAAATCATTTAATTCTTTAAATCCTCTCAATTTTCCAAAAAGCTTTAAACATTATCATAATTAACCGGAACAAAATGGTACCTAAAGGTCTCTCGATCATATTATATATAATATATATAATATATAATATATAATATATATATATTGTGTATATGCTATATATTTATACGTTTTACACCAACATATGGTCCAATCTGTTGTGCCTCATGAACTTGCATTTTCTTAGTTCTATCCCCTGTTTTTAAATATCTTGTTGATTGTGTAGCCAGAAAACATGGTGGCCTGATGGGGGAATTTTCTCGCAACATTTCTGTGAATTCTCCAGTTGAAATCTAAAGAAACTGTGGCTGTTTTGGCTGGGGCTGTCACTGTTGGGGGCCAGGTGAGAAAATCCCCAGAAAAACTCACTTCGTTGGCAACGGACATGTTTACCACTAGGCTTAAAACCAGGGGGTAAGGGGGGTGGGGTCGTGGCAGCAAAGCCTGAACGAAATCGTGTGGCCCCAAAGTGAGGTGCCACCCATGAAAAAAAAACATATCTCCATGATAGTTGGTAATTCCTCACCTTACTTGGGGCAGTTAAAGATGCTAAAAGATGCTTATTTTAAGTAGAGATCAAACCATTGGATACCATTGGACACAAAAAAAATGTGAGATCTTCCGCCTTGGTTTCAGGTCTTCGTGGATCCTGATCCGATCCTCCAGAACTTCTGGCGATTGCCGTGAAAAATCCCCAGAAAATACACCAGTAAATCTATATGACATATATATATAATATATATACATAGATATATTTTATACATATCTACGTTACATATATTATATTGTATTATATATATAATATATATATACCCAGGCATTATTTACCCAGTATATTCCATGATATTCCCATGATAGTTGGTTTTGATAGTTCGGTTTGTCTGAACATATGATCAAAAACTTCTTCATCCAGACAGGTTCTCCAATCGACTTGGTGGCTGCAGGGTGAACTAACCCCGCCCAGTTAGCCAGTTACAACGCGGTGATAGCTAAGTTGGTGAACATTACTCCAATTTCACTAAAGTTGATTAGCTAGATATATGATATATCTCTAGTATTCTCTAGTATTCTCTAGTATTCTCTAGTATTCATGGGGTAAACATGAATTACAGCAACAAACGTTAAACATCATCACATTTCTTCGTCCGGATGTTTCGCCATGGCCCATGCCAGCGAGCACCTCCTTCTCAGCCCAGGTCTTTTTCTTTGACTCCGGCGCATAGAGGCGCTGCACGATGCTCTTCGGATCCTGCGGCGCATAGAGGCGCTGCGCGGAAAAGAGTCATAGTGTCATAGGTGTGGCGTATGGGATGAACATGGAATTTACATGACTTTTTCATTGGGAATATGACTCTGTGAAAAAGATTGAGTGAGGGGATTCCCTTTGATTAGGGGGAGAAAATCACATGGCTTCCTGCAAGGTGGTGCCCCCCCAGTTATAAGTTGGTTTATAATCCCATTAACTATAGATATATCTACCATAAGTCCTAGTTATTAGAGTTATAAACCAACTTAGCTATCGACCGGGGGCACCACATTGTGTGGATTATCCCTGAAAACAATCCAGCAAGGAACATCAATTGGGATTTAAGCAGGATTTAAGTCAGAGAACTCTGGACTGGACAAACAGCTGGCTTCAACAAATCCGTTTTGAGGTGCTTAAACCTACCTTTCCCCAGTGGTTGAAGCATTTTTTTGGCACGGTTTGGTCAATTTTCCATGTTTCATAACTGGTTGGTGGTTGGTTTCAACCCCTCTGAAAAATGATGGAGTGAAAGTCAGTTGGGATGATGGCATTCCCAACTGAATGGAACAATAAAATTCCATGGTTCCAGTCACCACCAACCAGATAATGATATAATGTGTCTATTACTTTCCCAGTGTATCTGGATCGTTTTGAGCTAATTCACAAACCTGACAGGTTCGGCCAACAAATACGTCGCGGCGATGCTGTCTGATTCTGCAAAGCTCTTTGGAATGTACGACTGCATCATTGGAAAACACGACTGCTACACATAATACCACTATAGGTTCACTTCATGTCAATAAAAAACATGACAAAGCTAATTTTTCGCTGACATGGGGAACCATTGAGCTGTCCTCATTTGCCTTTGTCTTGCAGTTCAATGACCACTATGGCTAGGGAACGCACTGCTCTCCGAAAAAAACCATGGCCATTGTTCCGAAAAAAACCATCCCCCTCCCATTTTTTCCCCGTCCTTGGAAGCCCTTGCCGTCTTGGATGCCTTAGTGTCCCCCTTAGGAAAGGTGGTTTATACATATAATATATATATATATATATTATACAAATCACTGTAGATCAACTGTTGGAATTTTACGGCGATTGGAATTGTAGAAATGATGATCACATTTTCAAAGTCAAATCGGTTCATAAACCAACAAACAAACCATTCACATCCATTAAGCATAGTTTGTTTTAAAAAAAATACAACTTATGGATCACATGTACCTACAATGTGAGGCCCCCCAGTGATGTTTGTTGGTTTATAATCCCATGGCAACTAGTTCGATATATCTACCATAAGTCCAAACGTGAAATTAGAGTTATGTTCACCAACTGAACGCTATCGACCGGGGGCCTCACATTGTATGGATCACATGTACCTAGCTGAACCAGATAGCTCCGTCCCTCGGATCCTCCCCGTCACCAGCCCCAAGGTGGTGCCCCTGTCCATCGCACCACGTAGCTTGAGTTACGCTAAAGTTCAGGCTATGTCATCAGGATTCACCACGACCAATCTTAGATACCCTGCCAAAAAAAAACAAATAGCTGGTGAACGTAGATAATCCCATTGACACCAGAAGACTAGTCAGGATGAGTTTCTACCCATCCAGTTGATTGACCTAGTTGTGGTAAATGTAAATAATGTGGTTTATTTATAACCTTAAGCCTTAAGCCATAATCTGGGAAAACAACCTTTTTATCAATGGATTATCAATGGCATAGAAGACCTGCACAAAATGACCAGCATCACATGGTGACATAGTCCATGAATTTCATGGCTACTGGTTTTCACCACGAATCCACTGGTAGGTGAAATATCACTGTGCTTAAAACAATGTCATGACCATCCCCCAGTCAGTACCATAAATAGGTGGTGTAAACCATAAACCCAGGAATCCATGGGTAGCTTATGACACTGTTTCAACCACATTACACCCTGGTAAAAGTTTACATAACTATGGACAATCACCATTTTTAATGGGAAAATCAACTATTTCTATGGTCATTTTCAATAGCAAACTGTTAGTTTACCACATGTGATTTCATCCACTGGGATTTCCGTAGGCTTTTCATCCACGAATCCAGCTGGGGTGAACTCACCTTTGAATGGCTCATTGCAAACAACCGTTTCGACGTAAACGCGCCGGCTGTTTCTACGGATGAAAGAAGAGATTACACAGTAATGTCTACTGTTTTTTAATGTACTGTTCATAATGGTTAATATTCTATGGTTAATGATGGTTAATAAATATCTGGTTGGTGGTGCGCTAACCATCCTGAAAAATATGAGTTCGTCAATTTTGGAAGAATGAGATCCCATATATTATGGAAAATAAAAAAGGTTTGAAACCACCAACCACTCACTAAACATGAACTTATGGGATGAGTTTGTTTTTGGTGTATAAGAAACCTCACACAAGTTGTGAGTGTAGTAACTAGCCGCCAACAAAGACAATTTTAGATACCAGGCTTTTTAACGGTTTATTTCGGGTCCAACGAATGTAGACATCAGTTATCTTGGGCTACGAAATACTACAATGTGAGGCCTCCCAGTTAAAAGTTGGTTTATAAGCCCCAGTAACTATAGTTATTTGCGTACCATAAACCATAGTGAAATTGGAGTTATGTTCACCAACTTAGCTATCGACCGGGGGCCTCACATTGTAGCGTTAGGATCTAGGTCAAAGCCGCTATGGGATACCATAAGAAATTCATCGCTTAGACGACCAGAATCTACCCTTTGTGCTTGGCCCAAATGGCTTACCGTAATCTGAATCAACAAATGGGGAAACAAATGGCCAGCATGGGATACCATAGGATACACCTTGATGAGAAGAATGACTCCGTCAGCTGTCGGATCTTTTCCGATTCTGCGCTATACAAATGGAGCATTTGCAAAGAGAATACAACAGCAGGAGTTGCATTGTGACGCTCTCAACACCCGTGATCTCAAATCCAGAAACATCACACCCAGTTTCAACCCTGCAAAAGAAACAATCTTCAAGATATCTTAAACAGGATATTGTTCTTTCCCCTTAAACCATGAAGGATTGCTGTTCCATAAACATCATAAAAACCATCAAAAAACCATCAAACAACCATCAAACAACCATCAAAACACCATCAAAAAACCATCAACAACCATCAAAAAACCATCAAAACACCATCAACAACCCATCAAAAAACCCATCAACAAGCTATGTTTGAATGGATTTCTCTTCCATAAACCATGGCCAAAAAAGGAATGGAACCGCCCGTGACCTCTGTAAAACCTGTAGGGATGCCATGGGATGATGACACGAAGTGCCTGCGAACATGGCCAGCCATTGTTACCCAGTGGAAATAGTTGATTTACCCAGCTACAAAATGGATGATTAATGGATGATTCATGTGGTAAATGTAACAGTTTGCTATTAACAAGTGCTATTTATAGTTGATTTACGTATTAAAAATGGTGATTTGTGACAAGTTATGTTAGATTTGTTAGTTTACCAGAGGGTAAATCATGGTAAATCCCATAATCCATCCCTTATGTAACAAAGCACTTGGATCTTGGGGCATTTTTTACAATCATGCTATATCTTTCCTTAAATAGGATAGAGCCAGTAATCAAGCTCAGTTTGTGGCATTGGATTTACCATCTGAAACTCACCAAAAAAGTGGGTGAACCGTGTCATAAACCACATATGAAAATGATGATGATCCACCATAGTTTGGTAAACAATAATGTAAACATATGTGGTAAAACATAATAAACAATAATAATAAACCAACCATATAAACATTATTAATATTGCTACCACCCATTTGGGATAATGGAAAGCGTATACCACCTACAAAAATGGTGACTGGGGGATGGTTCATGGCCATGCGGATCTGAACGACCCTGCCACCTGCAACTCCCACGACGAAACGCGCTACGCGGTGCTCAACATGGCCGGTGGCCGAATGGAGCGCCGCATGGTGTCCGATGTCCGACATGATCCACATGAATCTACGTTGGGACTCTGGTGTTGACGATGGCAAAATTGGTGAAGATAACTAAGTTAACCATGGTTTATGTTGATAAGTACAGTTTTCATGGGGGGGCACAACATTGTAGCGCTAACTTTCTTTACAAAAGAGAGAATGAAAAAATGGGGAACACCCAGAACCATTACACCACAAATGGAATGGTGGTTTTCAAAGCTGCTTTACTACCAGTGGTTAGGCAAAATCACATAATCAACTTAATAACTTTTATAAAGTTAGTCAACTATGGTGAAAAATCACCAGTCATTAACCTAATTGACTAACTTTATTTCAATATGTGTTGGAGCAATGATCCAACGATCACCACTAGAAGTGTTGGGCCCGCATTTATGCAATGTTGGTTAGGTAACCAATCCAAGTGTGGAGCCACATACATTAAATAATTAATATCAACCATACATGGGCCCCCACATTGTAGAATGTGTCTTGCAGCTAAGAAGCCTAAGACTATGCAATTGCAACTTTTGGACAATTGCCCTGCAAAACAAAACAAACAGTTGCGAGTATGTTCACAAAACAATCCGTCAAAACAAGCAAGAACCTACTGAACCAAGGTTCATTTACTTAATATTTCCTATTTCCATTTAATTTATTTAAACAAAAATGAGGTTACTATAAGCACGGCCAATATCCAAATGTACCTGGATGATATGACGCTGTGAAGCATGTTCATAGCCTGAAGGTTGGAAGTGTGGACCAACTAAATCAACAGATTGACCCCGGATGTTGAACATGTAATTAGGTCAAACAATAGACCCACTATTCTGGTGGTGGTTTGAACCTCTCTGAAAAATATTAGTCAATGGGAAGGATTATCCCATATATATAAAATAAAAAATGTTCCAAACCACCAACCATTATTACATGTAATTACCCCACTATAATTAGGTTGTTGACCCCAAATAGATTCATAGATGTTGAACAGCTATAGAAACATGTCCTTAGGAAGGCAACAAAAACACTTGTAACATCCTGCAAAACACGTTTCTATATCTTTTTGAGGAACGTTCTTGTTCTACATGGAAATAATATGAAACAACGAACAAACACATATAGGAACTGGACAAAAAACATAATGAGAATTCATCCAGATATTGAGTGGTTGGATAGTATGGGGTTTGTTCTTTGAACCGAAAAATGTCATGTGGATCATAAAACGACAAACATACCTGGCGTTTGCTCAAAAAAAATCACTTTGAGACCAGACTAGACAAGGTCTGTGGGAACAAGCTTCACCACATAGCCAGCCAATGAGTTTCTTCATTGGACCGACCCCAAAATTGAAATAGTTCCTGCGGCAGCTGGTGGGCATTTTCTGACCTGGTAAAAATCGGAGATGATTCTGGACCGAACCCATGTTGGCAATGTATGTATGTATGTATGTATGTAATACCCTCAACTACGAGCCAGGGACCCTGAACACTGCATTATAGAACCTTTTGGGGTATCTGAAATCATATTCTTTTGAAAACCACCACTTAGATATTAGAACTTTTCACCTCCTGACACAAGTGGTACGTTAGGGTTCTGAGATCAAGTCTTAACCTAGCAATAAAATGCAATAGATAGATGCAAACAGCATTGGATCTACCTCGCTTTCTTGCCACTGCAGTCACAGTCACCGCCGAAGCTCCTTCTTTTGCCCCATTGACTGTCCCAAGTTGCGTACTGGCAAGGACAAGAATGTGCCATCAAAAGGATTCAAAAGGCACATTGCCCCACTTTCATCCACTTTCCATCTGCAATTCAGCTCTGCCTAGATGCCGGCCCAGTAAACAAAACCCAGGCGCCTTGTTTTGATGTTGAAAAATTGGTCAACTTATTTTTCTCAAAGTTTCTCTTTGGCCAGCATCGATTCGCTATTTCTAAGGAAAATAAAATGCCATTCTATCCGTTTTGGACAGGACAGGCATGTCAATCGCTGTCTCCTTCACCCTGGCTGTCTGCCAAAGCAGCTGACACACCTGAAGAGAAACCGTTGACCTGTGCAACTAAAGAGTTGAGCTTGGCAGTTGATCCATCCTCTTGCATCGCTCGCTTTACCTCATGTGAAAGTTGTCACAGCACATGGAACCTGGAGGCTAATCAACCAGAATAAACCCAAACCAAAACACAGCTTGGAAAAAACAAATGCAAAACCCAGCTGCGTCCACCAGCCATCCCTGGACTTTAACTCCAAAAGCTTGCTTGCTGCGCACATCATGATAGTAGTAGCTGAAGAAGTCAAAGACCTTCTCCATGAGGGATTCCATCGTCACCGTGTTGACCGTGTTTTGCTCGGAGAACCGAACACTGAGGCGGTCGACGGTCAACATCGGCTTTGTGGGAAAATTTTTGGTCTGAAATTCCAGCAGCAACCGCAACTCCTGCTGCATCAGAGCCTTTCCCTTTTTGGTCCTGCGAAAGTTCACGATCTCGGGAACGATGTACCTTTTGCCCCGAACAATTTTCACACCTTTCGATTCCTGGGCCTTCTTCTGCTCTTCTGACACGAGGTGATTCAAGGCCTTCATGCTGTCCTGCACCAAAAAGCACGATCAATTCAAATAGCTTTTGCTGGTAAATATTTGAACTTGGGAACTTCCAAAACTCCAAAAAACATAATCTTCTTGACCCAAGAGGTTCTGAGATGTTTTTTCTCTATGTAGTGTTGGCTGATCTTTGAGGACATGTGGGAAGATATGATCTAAGACCCCAAGCTATGTGTATGAGACCTGCAAGGGCCATGAGAGTGCTTTGGTTTGAAAGGGTTTGAAGTTTGGAACTGCCAACAACAACAAAAAATATAGTTTAAAAAATAATAATTTTCTTGACCCAAAAGGTTCTGAGATGTTTTTTCTCTATGTAGTGTTGGCTGATCTTTGAGGACATGTGGGAAGATATGATCTAAGACCCCAAGCTATGTGTATAAGACCTGCCAGGGCCATGTGAATACTTTGGTTTGCAAGGGTTTGAAGTTGGGAACTTCCAACACTCAAAAAAATATATATTTAAAAAAAAAATACCCTTGACCCAAGAGGTTCTGAAATGTTTGTTCTCTATGTAGTGCTGGCTGATCTTTGAGGACATGTGGGAAGATATGATCTAAGACCCCAAGCTATGTGTATAAGACCTGCCAGGGCCATGTGAGTACTTTGGTTTGCAAGGGTTTGAAGTTGGGAACTTCCAACACTCAAAAACATAAATATTAAAAAAAATACCCTTGAGCCAAGAGGTTCTGAAATTGTTTGTTCTCTATGTAGTGTTGGCTGATCTTTGAGGACATGTGGGAAGATATGATCTAAGACCCCAAGCTATGTGTATGAGACCTGCAAGGGCCATGAGAGTGCTTTGGTTTGAAAGGGTTTGAAGTTTGGAACTGCCAACAACAACAAAAAAATATAGTTTAAAAAAAATAATTTTCTTGACCCAAAAGGTTCTGAGATGTTTTTTCTCTATGTAGTGTTGGCTGATCTTTGAGGACATGTGGGAAGATATGATCTAAGACCCCAAGCTATGTGTATGAGACCTGCAAGGGCCATGAGAGTGCTTTGGTTTGAAAGGGTTTGAAGTTTGGAACTGCCAACAACAACAAAAAATATAGTTAAAAAATAATAATTTTCTTGACCCAAAAGGTTCTGAGATGTTTTTTCTCTATGTAGTGTTGGCTGATCTTTGAGGACATGTGGGAAGATATGATCTAAGACCCCAAGCTATGTGTATAAGACCTGCCAGGGCCATGTGAATACTTTGGTTTGCAAGGGTTTGAAGTTGGGAACTTCCAACACTCAAAAAAAATATATTTAAAAAAAATATACCCTTGATCCAAGAGGTTCTGAAATGTTTGTTCTCTATGTAGTGTTGGCTGATCTTTGAGGACATGTGGGAAGATATGATCTAAGACCCCAAGCTATGTGTATGAGACCTGCAAGGGCCATGAGAGTGCTTTGGTTTGAAAAGGTTTGAAGTTTGGAACTGCCAACAACAACAAAAAATATAGTTAAAAAATAATAATTTTCTTGACCCAAAAGGTTCTGAGATGTTGTTTCTCTATGTAGTGTTGGCTGATCTTTGAGGACATGTGGGAAGATATGATCTAAGACCCCAAGCTATGTGTATAAGACCTGCCAGGGCCATGAGGGTGCTTTGGTTTGAAAGGGTTTGAAGTTGGGAACTTCCAACACTCAAAAATATATATTTAAAAAAAAAATACCCTTGACCCAAGAGGTTCTGAAATGTTTTTTCTCTATGTAGTGTTGGCTGATCTTTGAGGACATGTGGGAAGATATGATCTAAGACCCCAAGCTATGTGATCCAAGGTTCTTTTGGTTATAGCTCTTGAAGCCTGAAAAAAGTGCAAAAACATGTGACAAAAAATTCTTAGGGGCCAATGTCCTCTGTCAGCTGGATCTTGGTTCCATCGATGCCTTTCTTCTGGCGCATGTCCTCAGTGTCAAGCCGCACGCCCAGATTCTCCAATCCAAGGACAAGGAACTCGCTCATCGAGTCGCACACAAAGACATTGTCATGGTCCTGGTGCCCCTTGTGGCGAAACAGCACCACCCGTGCGCCAGTTGACTGCACCACGGGAAATTTCCCGCCAAGCCAGCTGAGAACCAGTGCCTTTCTTGTAGGCCCTCCACACGCTCAAGATCAAGGCAGGATGCCAAGTCTTGTGGGCATAGGCCGCAATGACCTGCCCTGTGTGCATGGACAGAGTGGAAGGCAAAGTTGGCATGTGCTGCTCTCGTAGCTGCTCGCAATTCTGGACCCAACCTGCGACACGGCTAGATCTTGTCGCCGGCATTCGTTCTTGGGCTTCCACCACTGCAATTTGATGCCGAACTGCATCATGCCATTTCTGAACCTTGGTCTGAAGCGATGCCCGGGTGTGGTAGTGACTTTTCACCACCTCGCTGTCGCAGCCTCTGGGGCCAAGGCGTAGGTAGCACAGCAACAGCCACAGCCCATGCTTTGCAGCTTCCAAGTTTTCACAGGATTGCAAGGCAGCCGCCAAGGTGTTCTTCTTGAGGGTTTCGATCTCCTTCTGCAATTTTTCTTGTGGGTGCACTGCCTCAGCAGCAGTGGCCTTTGGAGGCTCATCAGTGCCCATGTCACAAACCTCTGCAGTCGCTGCTGCTATCTTCGGGTCTCCACGATGACCTTTGGACCTCTCATGCAAGAGCATGCCCCGGGCATCATCACATTTGATCTCAGGGTCTCCCTCTCCATCTACATCCATGGCTCTCGACAATGCCTGGGAATCCCGGACATGATGCATAAGGTCCTCTGCTGTTGTTTCAGGTGGATCAGGGCCATCTTGATCCTGGTCATCACAGTCCTCATTCATGGCAGATGCCCTCAACTTGCTGCAACTTTTGGACATGACATAGGTTGATCGCAGATCTTGCTCCGATCTGCCTGAGCACAAGGACATCATCTTCAAGGCAGCTGCAAACGCAGTATCTGTGACCTCTGCAAAGGTGGTGGAGCTGACTGGTCCAGAGTCCTGCACGACTGGTGATCCTTCTTGGTCTCTCCACGTTTTCAGCTCTTTGCGCATATTGGTTGCGCTTGACCTCCAGAAGTCTGCAGCACTGAGCTTGAAGTTGGGGAACATGCTTCTCACTCTCCCGAATCTTGCCTCCAAGTTCCTCTCAGTCAAAGACTTCCAGCAAATGGAGGACTGCACAGTGAGACATGCCATCGCGATGGCAGCAGCAGCATCTCGCAGGCCCTTGTGGGTGCGCTGGTCAATCCAACAGCTTTTCTTCTTCTGGTTCATCTCCATTGCTTCCAAGGAAGCAACCAATGATCCAAAGTCAAGCAGAAATAGTCCTCAATTCATGCAGGGAGTTTGAAACATATTGAAATATCATGCTTGGCTCGGATTAGAAAATATATTGACCAGGGAATGAAAACATCTTGGCAATCACTCCTGTGAGAGCGGTCTGCAACCTCCACTTGCGGCAGTTGCTTGAGTGAAGGTAGGCAGCCTGCACGTGGGCCAGAATCAGACTCATGATGAATGCCCCTTCCAGCATCCATGGCACTTGGATGCGCTCGCTGAAGGGATCGAGAGCAAAATTCATGGGAGAGAGCCTGGGACAAACCAGATTGAAGTTCTAAGATCATTTCCCTTGAGAAACTTCAGAAAAATCATTGGCAATCATATGAAGCATCCATTGTAGAACCAAGCACCCATCAACTATGATACCCAACAAAAACCCAGGTTTAAGAATGAAAAAATGGAATTGCTGTCAAACCAAGGATGGAGAGATGTTCACATCCAGAAGGTTCTGAAATTATTTCCCTTGAGAAACTTCAGAAAAATCATTGGCAATCATATGAGGCATCCATTGTAGAACCAAACACCCATCAACTATGATACCCAACAAAACCCAGGTTTAAGAATGAAAAAATGGAATTGCTGTCAAGCCAAGGATGGATGAGATGTTCACATCTAGGAGGTTCTGAGATCATTTCCCTTGAGAAGCTTCAGAAAAATCATTGGTAATCATATGAAGCATCCATTGTAGAACCAACTAAATCGAATCAGGGAGTTGTGCTTTTGAACACCTAAACTTTTCTGAAACCATCTAAAACTATCAGAACCCATCAGGGTCATCGCCCCAAAACATGTTTAACAAATTCAAGAAAAACAAAGCAAAACCCCATTTTATCTTTACATATATAATCATGATACTTGCAGGGCACCTGGAACTACATAAAACAAGTTGAAATAGCCAAGGGACCAAAGAGCTGCCTGGGCATCGCTCATCGCATCATTGCCTACGTATGCCGCAGGCCACATGCCCAACTGTAGGCTTGCAGAGCTGTCCACCTTGAGCTTGCCGAACACAATGGTCCGGAGAGAGGAACGGCATTGCTCAACAAAGTTTTTGGCCAAGTGAGCAATTCCGGGAAGGTAGCTAATGGGTTCCTGGCCGACCAGCACCACTCGGTAGCCTAGGGCATAATCACTGATTGGCAAGTCCTGGAAGGACAAAGACTTCCAGAAAGGCAGGCAGTCCATCAAATCTTCTGAGAGTGGCAGCGCCTGCCCAAGCAAAGCACGGTGGCACCATTCGTGTGCTCCTGCCCCATCCATGATGAAAAAGCGAATGCATGTTGTCGCTTCAAGCACCTGGCCCAATCTTGCCATCATCTCGAACTTGCCACGGCTATGGGTCGGAGTAGGAAATTTCTCCTCAAAGCTAGCATGCCTGCTCGCTGCTGCAAGTACTGGATAGCTGCCTGCCTCGATTTTTGGGGAGCTGGCTCTTGTCGAATCCCAGCAAAGGAACGAGGCCATCTCTCCAGCCTTTTGCCTTTTTTTCATCTCAAACTGCTGATCCCCTTTGCTCCGATCAAGGACAAACATGCTTTCATCGGGGAGCTCCCAGCCTGGTGGCCGATGTGCGCCTCCTGCGAGCACTGATCCAACATGGGTTCTGACCAGCTGAGTTGTGGCAATCAGGTATGTCCTGTCATATGCCAAGACAAGTCGCCTGTGTGGCACATCTTCTCCCCGGGTGTAGATAGTGCTCAGGACATGGCTGTTCTGCTTCAGAGTCGCGCTGTCTGGAGACAAGAAGGTCGGTAGCCCCCATTTGCCAATGTGCTCCAAAGTCCCATAGAACTGCTCCTGCTGCATGTACTTGATGCCAAAAAAGGCCAAGCAACGAGGATTGGCACCCCAAGCCGAGAGCTCAGCACCAGCTTCGAGCAACAGGTTCCTTTCATGCTCTTCACCTGAGCAGGCTGGAAGCCAGGCACCAACCATGATACTGAAAAGAGACCTTGTTTAAGGTGGTTTTCAATAAAGTAATCACATCCAGGAGGTTCTGAGATTATTTCCCTTGAGAAACTTCAAAAAAACCATTGGTAATCATATGAAGCATCCATTGTAGAACCAAACACCCATCAACTATGATACCCAACAAAAACCCAGGTTTAAGAATGAAAAAAATGGAATTGCTGTCAAACCAAGGATGGAGAGATGTTCACATCCAGGAGGTTCTGAGATTATTTCCCTTGAGAAACTTCAAAAAAACCATTGGTAATCATATGAGGCATCCATTGTAGAACCAAACACCCATCAACTATGATACCCAACAAAAACCAGGTTTAAGAATGACAAAATGGAATTGCTGTCAAACCAAGGATGGAGAGATGTTCACATCCAGAAGGTTCTGAAATTATTTCCCTTGAGAAAATTCAAAAAAACATTGGTAATCATATGAAGCATCCATTGTAGAACCAAACACCCATCAACTATGATACCCAACAAAAACCCAGGTTTAAGAATGAAAAAATGGAATTGCTGTCAAACCAAGGATGGAGAGATGTTCACATCCAGGAGGTTCTGAGATTATTTCCCTTGAGAAACTTCAAAAAAAACATTGGTAATCATATGAGGCATCCATTGTAGAACCAAACACCCATCAACTATGATATCCAACAAAAACCCAGATTTAAGAATCAAAAAATGGAATTGCTGTCAAACCAAGGATGGATGAGATGTTCACATACAGAAGGTTCTGAAATCATTTCCCTTGAGAAACTTCAGAAAAATCATTGGTAATCATATGAAGCATCCATTGTAGAACCATTTTCCCATCAATTCTGATACAACACAGAAACTGGAACACTTGAAAATTTCTGTGAAACTTGAAAACATTTTCCAAGCCAGGATAGATATGGATGGATGAGATGATCACATCAGGAGGTTCTGAGATCATACCCATGTACATTCCTTAGGCAAGAACAATGACAGATATGTGGGGAACCATATTAGAACCCACTGGGTTAAACATAGCTAGAAGATAGATGGAACTAAAATGAAATCAAAATCTGAATGATTCAGTGGCCCAAGGACTTTAGCACATATATGCACATTTAGCATCATATAGCTACATATAGCTACTACATGCCACTACATGCCACTACCATCTACTACCTGAATCTTGCAGACCAGTCACGGTGCCGGTTCCGAAATGTCCTGTTCTTGCTGTCTTCCTTCTCCACCCTGTTCATGCAAGCCAGCATGATGCCCTGGATGGCTGGGTGTCGGTGAATTTCACCACACACGACGGCTTTCACAATCTGCAAGTCCCTGGATGATGCATTGGGGTCCGAGCGCATGTAATCCAGAAGCTTTTGCAGCTGCACATCACGAAGGTTGCACCCAGGCTCAACTTCCACACAAGGTTTCACCGTAGACCAAAAGAATCCTTTCATGGCCTCCACCATTCTCTGTGATGTTCTTCCCCACCAGCTAGCAGAGACCTTAGCATGGAGTTCCTTGTCAGACAAGCCCATGATGTGATCCAACACAGACTTGCACCTGCGTTGGTAGAGCAGTGAGTTCCTCAGATCAGTCTCGAATGCCTCCAACTTGTCAGCAGCGAACATCTTGTGCCAAAGGAGCCTGGCAGCCTCCATGTCCACCAACGTGGAAGCAAGCCGTGTGATGAACTTTTGGTCACCAGCCAACTGCAGGCAATCTGCACAAGTGCTCTCATCTGTGCCATGGTGGCGGACTGGTTTTCTCTCCTGGTTATCGCAACACTTTCGGTGCTGCAGCACCCAGTCACCATCACGGCAATTATGGGTGATCTTGTGGATCTGCTGGTTTGGCAAAGCTGTGCATCCCGGAGCAAAGTCATGGTATTTGGCATACTCATCCCACAAAGGCCTCAAATCATTGCCGAGACGTGTCATCTTGCCCAGCTCTGAATTCAGTCGGGGTCCCAGGCACACACCAAGGTCCATTGCCACTGTCTTTTCATCAGCAGGCTCCACTTTCACCTTGTCATCCTCAGTCTTCATCGCACGTTGCCTAGCTGCACGGTGCGCCTGTCCCCTGACATGTTGCCACACTTTGGCTCTCCCCTTGCCTTCCAAGGTGACTTGGCAGAATTTGCACCATACAGGGTTTTTTTTGCCGCTGTCTCCTTTTGGAAGCTTTTTCACCCCGTGAAGTTCCATCAACTGCGTCTTATCCAGCAATGCCTCTGCCTCAACTGCTATCTCTGCCACACCAGGCTGAACCATGTCGGCACTATCCTCAGCCTCATCCTCGGACTTCTCGACCTTGATGCGCTTGGTTTCTGACTCCTCTTTATCATCTGGCTCTCTCTTGACCTTGGTTTGCTCTGCAGGCTGTGAAGGTGGCTTGAGAGGCTTGAGGCCCTTGATAGTGGTTGCCTGGCCCAAGTCTTTCTGCACTTTCTCCTGAAGTTCGCGCACATGGGCCACAAGAGAGGCCTGGTCGAAGCCTGCGTTCTGCATGATCTGCTGGCAAGCTTTGCACTCATCTGGCCAAGTGCCTTTCACCTGTCCATCAGGGTGGCCCCTGTAAATACATATGTAAATATAAACTTGTGCATATATGATTGGTGAGGGGCATACCAAAGTTCTAAAATCAAATTCATTGGACACATACAGGATTACCAATTTCAATGACCTGAGGAACCCATTCCAGAACAACCCCATGTGTAAAACCCTTTCCAAATCAAATCATCGAACAGTCAACCTCGAACAGCTCTGCCCGCATTTTCAGAATATAGCTGGATTTCGATGGGTTGATCACCCCTTGGAAGTTCTAAGTTCCTATCAGTGAAGAATTTGAAGACTAATGTGTAGCAATGACAGGAGAAAATCATTCTAGAACCAGGCATTTTGACCAAGCCTGGAAACTGAAAATAAAAATTCTAAGTGTTTCCATTGTACTTCATTGTGTTTCCATACCTTCCCTGGATCAAAAAGCCAAGTGACAAGCTTGGAGAAGAAGACATGCCAGGGAGCATTGTTGCAGAACTGTGTACCTCTCCTTGGTGCAGCAGATTTTTCACATGAGTGGGGACACCAACTGCCAAAGAGTACTGGAATCATGTTCATTGGAATCAATTTCCAAGAAAATACCCCAGGCTGGAAGGAAACCATTGTAGAACCTGGATGCTGGAATTTCACCTGAAGAAACATATAGGATCATAAAGGGTCATATCGACGCATGACATCTTGATCAATTCTAAAGAAAAGAATAACACTGAACCAATTAGATCCAATTAGATGACATTCAAATCCATCAACTGACCCTGTGCTCAGGCAGGCAACACAATGATGATCATCTGCTTGTGTTGTGACAACCAAGTGCGGTAGGTGATGCCCTTGTCGGATAGCATCTGCCCAACATACTGGTCAATGTTGATCACTGCCTCAGGTGGACTAGGCTTTCCAGTCCGTCTCTTTTTGGCAGGTCCACCTTCGTTCTGTCCAGGGATGACCACAACTCCGTCAAGGTCCTCTTGCCCGGCCACAAGGGCCCCCTTCTTGTCGAGAGGATCAGGTGTGAATGGGCACTCAGGCTTCTTCTTGCTGTGGGGAGGTGTTGTGATCACCTCGTCTGCAGGTGGAGCTTCTACCTCACCAGCATTGTCAGGACCAGCTTGAGAATCCTCCGGCTGCCCGTCAGGCTCCACATGGCCTGCACAAAAGTGAGAAAAAGCAATCCTCCACTGTGGTGACTCCACCGCACTCTCCCAGCAGACTCGCAAATCAGCCCTGAGGGTGGTACATTCCCGTACATCAACATGCTCCATGGCTTTCTGGTCTGGAGGCTTCAGCAAATGCCAAAGCATATCAACGGCGCAGTTGCCATCCTTGCAGGTGTCGTGGCAAATGATTCCATGGTCTGCCTGCATGGTCTGGACCATGTCCTTGTAATTGGACAAGCGGCGCTCACAGCGAGCAATGTCAAACTCCAGAGCATTTGCCACAACCTCCTCCAAGGCATAGTCTTTTTTCTCGTTCAAGTCCACTAGCTCCTTGTGTTCAAGGTCCTCAAAGTCAGAAAGCCACTGATTGCTCAGTTCCTGTGCATGTGGAAGATCTTTGGAAAACCATCCTGGGATCCAGTGCAGGCACTCATCCAGATTGACATCTTTGTCAAAATCCACGTTGCAGAGGATACAAACCAAACATTCCTCAGAGTCCTCAGCTCCAGAGTCATTCGACCAGAGACCATCCGGGAGGATCGCAGAGACAAATTCATTGGGATCGAGCAAGTTCATGTGTCCTGGTCCATGTTGGGTCGTTTGGTGTTTTTAAACGTTTTCTTGAATCCAACAAGTTTTCTATATATAGATATATACTATACATGTTTCATCATGTTTCTGTGTTTTCACTATATGTATCATGTTATATATCTATTTATACCCGATATTCCAGGATGCGCAATGCAACGGCATGTGTGGCAAACTTGAATTCCACGTGCCTTCGCAGTAGACAAAGAACTTGAAGTTCAGCTTCTTCAGGTGTGCGAGCAAGAAAACATCTGGAAACTCAAGGTAAGTGGCATTCTGGGCCATACGCTGTGCCCAGGCCCTCATGTGTTCGCCCAGCTTGTCCTCGAAAGCAGCACCTGGGCAGGTATGCACATGGCCAGGCATCCCAACCCCAGTTGAAAAAGGAAACATTCAAATATATTCGAATATATTATATAAGAATGTAAAAGAAACCCTTTCACAAGAAATTACTGTTTTATTCCTCACCTTGTCTGGACCTCAATGGTGTTTGAGGGTTCTCAACTTGCGGAACAGGGTTGTCCTGCATGGATACCATCACATCCCACCCCTGGAGGGCATCGTCCAATGCGCTCCAAACAGTCGGGGCCGCAGGTTTCGAAGCCTTTGGAGGAGTCAGTTCAGCACCTGGCCAATGGAGCTCACAGGAGGGATCTGAAGTCCTATCTAAAAAAAGCACACCTCATCATGTCAGAATTAACCAAACAAACACATGAAAAAACCACAGAATTAATGCCAAGATGGCCCATCACCCAAACAAACTATCCTCTACTGTCCCAGGTTCTAAAATCATATACCATTCATGGGGATGACCCTATACCCAATACTTGGAGATGCATATCAAAAAAGAACCCCAAACCCGCTGGAACCATCTGGAACCATGTTGACCCCATATCCAGCACCAAATCAGATGGAAGCAGCACCTTTTGCAGTGGCATCTCCACCCTGTGATCTTGATCCTCCAGCACCTGGCCCAAAGATTCCACAGGAGGGATCTGAAGTCACTTCATTTGTGCACCAACGCTGGTGTCAACACATGTTCAAGGTGATTTTAATCCTAGAACCATGGGTGAGGAAAACCCCACAAATAGATGAACAAACCTTAGAAATTAATCTTTTATCCCAAGATGGACCATCACCCAAGCCCACTATCCTGGACTGTCCCAGGTTCTAAAATCACATCCCATTCATGGGGAGGACCCTATACCCAATACTGGAAGATGCATATCAAAAAAGAACCCCAAACCCAATGGAACCCACATCCAACACCAAATCAGATGAAAGCAGCACCTTTTGGAGTGACATCTCCACCCTGTGATGTTGCTGCTTCAGCACCTGGACCAAGGATTCCACAGGAGGGATCTGAAGTCACTTCATCTGGACACCAACACTGGTGTCAACACATGTTCAAGGTGATTTTAATCCTAGAACCATGGGTGAGGAAGACTCCACAAACAAGTGAAAAGAACACAGAAATTAATCTTTTATCCCAAGATGGACCATCACCCAAACCAACTATCCTCGACTGTCCCCAGGTTCTAAAATCACATCCCATTCATGGGGAGGACCCTATACCCAATACTGGAAGATGCATACCAAAAAAGAACCCTAAACCCAATGGAACCCACATCCAACACCAAATCAGATGGAAGCAGCACCTTTTGGAGTGACATCTCCACCCTGTGATGTTGCTGCTTCAGCACCTGGACCAAGGATTCCACAGGAGGGATCTGAAGTCACTTCATCTGGACACCAACACTGGTTTCAACACATGTTCAAGGTGATTTTAATCCTAGAACCATGGCTGAGGAAGACTCCACAAACAAGTGAAAAAAACACAGAAATTAATCTTTTATCCCAAGATGGACCATCACCCAAGCCCACTATCCTGGACCGTCCCCAGATTCTAAAATCACATCCCATTCATGGGGAGGACCCTATACCCAATACTGGAAGATGCATACCAAAAAAGAACCCTAAACCCAATGGAACCCACATCCAACACCAAATCAGATGGAAGCAGCACCTTTTGGAGTGACATCTCCACCCTGTGATGTTGCTGCTTCAGCACCTGGACCAAGGATTCCACAGATCTGAAGTCACTTCATCTGTACACTAACACTGGTGTCGATTTTAATCCTAGAACCATGGGTGAGGAAGACTCCACAATCAAGTGGAACAAACCACAGAAATTAATCTTTTATCCCAAGATGGACCATCACCCAAACCAACTATCCTCGGCTGTCCCCAGGTTCTAAAATCACATCCCATTCATGGGGAGGACCCTATACCCAATACTGGAAGATGCATATCAAAAAAGAACCCCAAACCCAATGGAACCCACATCCAACACCAAATCAGATGGAAGCAGCACCTTTTGGAGTGACATCTCCACCTCGTGAACTTGATGCTCCAGCACCTGGCCCAAGGATTCCACAGGAGGGATCTGAAGTCACTTCATCTGTACACCAACACTGGTGTCAACACATATTAAAGGTGATTTTAATCCTAGAACCATGGGTGAGGAAGACTCCACAAACAAGTGACAAAAACACAGAAATTAATATTTTATCCCAAGATGGACCATCACCCAAACCAACTATCCTCGACTGTCCCCAGGTTCTAAAATCACATTCCATTCATGGGGAAGACCCTATTCCCACTACTGGGAGATGCATATCAAAAAAGAACCCTAACCCCAATGGAACCCACATCCAACACCAAATCAGATGGAAGCAGCACCTTTTGCAGTGGCATCTCCACCCTGTGATGTTGCTGCTTCAGCACCTGGCCCAAGGATTCCACAGGAGGGATCTGAAGTCACTTCATCTGGACACCAACACTGGTGTCAACACATGTTCAAGGTGATTTTAATCCTAGAACCATGGGTGAGGAACACTCCACAAACAAGTGAAAAAAAACACACAGAAATTTATCTTTTCTCCCAAGATGGACCATCACCCAAATCAACTATCCTCGACTGTCCCCAGGTTCTAAAATCACATCCCATTCATGAGGAGGACCCTATACCCAATACTGGAAGATGCATATCAAAAAAGAACCCCAAACCCGCTGGAACCATCTGGAACCATGTTGACCCCATATCCAGCACCAAATCAGATGGAAGCAGCACCTTTTGCAGTGGCATCTCCACCCTGTGATGTTGCTGCTTCAGCACCTGGCCCAAAGATTCCACAGGAGGGATCTGAAGTCACTTCATCTGTGCACCAACACTGGTGTCAACACATGTTCAAGGTGATTTTAATCCTAGAACCATGGGTGAAGAAGACTCCACAAATAAATGAACAAACCACAGAAATTAATCTTTTATCCCAAGATGGACCATCACCCAAACCAACTATCCTCGACTGTCCCCAGGTTCTAAAATCACATCCCATTCATGGGGAGGACCCTATACCCAATACTTGAAGATGCATATCAAAAAAGAACCCCACACCCACTGGAACCATCTGGAACCCACACCCCAAATCAGATGTGTTGCTGTCCAGTTGGGGCCGTGCTGTCAACTGTCAACACATGCCAGTTCATTCAAATCCAGCCTGTGCTCACACCAGTTTCAGCAGGCCCACCCGCTGCACCATTGTGATCACCTGGGGATAAGCTGCGACCAGAGTCTGCACGTGTTTTTCATATGTGTTCATATCGTTTCTTGGTCATCCAAAGACTTTTTCTTCCAGCTTCAAATCTGGTGAGCAGTGAAATGTTCTGAGACTGTACCCTGCACAACAACACCTCTCTACAATCCGGCCTCGGGAGAGCTTGTCGCCCACAAGCTCCGATTCGCTGGTTTTCATAAGACCTGCACCGCCATGGGCGAAGATGAACAAAGCATATCCAAGTAATTCCCCGTAGTGAATATCCAAACTGATCAAGCGATCAGGATATATCCTATACTGTCCATGAATATCAATGCATGGTCACTAGACAAAGCAAGAACTGTGTTCCAGAATGGCCCGATAAAAAAATCAACCACCAAGTTTTCCGTAGTAGAAGGAAATCTCCCTCAGAAACCTCCATGGAACCCTATAACCAAAACCCTGCTTTCTACACATACCAGGTCCCAAAAAACCATGGCAAACTAACATCCCAAAGACAAACACACAGCCACACAACTCATCATTCCAGGTTTCCAATTGATCATCCAAAACTATCCAAACCCACTATCCTCGACTGCCCCCAGGTTCTAAAATCACATCCCATTCATGGGGAGGACCCTATACCCAATACTGGAAGATGCATACCAAAAAAGAACCCTAAACCCAATGGAACCCACATCCAACACCAAATCAGATGGAAGCAGCACCTTTTGCAGTAACATCTCCTTTCTGTGATGTTCCTGCTTCAGCACCTGGCCCAAAGATTCCAGAGGAGGGATCTGAAGTCACTTCATTTGTGCACCAACACTGGTGTCAACACATGTTCAAGGTGACTTTAATCCTAGAACCATGGGTGAGGAAAACCCCACAAATAAATGAACAAACCACAGAAATTAATCTTTTATCCCAAGATGGACCATCACCCAAACCAACTATCCTCGACTGTCCCCAGGTTCTAAAATCACATCCCATTCATGGGGAGGACCCTATACCCAATATTTGAAGATGCATACCAAAAAAGAACCCTAAACCCAATGGAACCCACATCCAACACCAAATCAGATGGAAGCAGCACCTTTTGCAGTAACATCTCCTTTCTGTGATGTTCCTGCTGCAGCACCTGGCCCAAAGATTCCAGAGGAGGGATCTGAAGTCACTTCATTTGTGCACCAACACTGGTGTCAACACATGTTCAAGGTGACTTTAATCCTAGAACCATGGGTGAGGAAAACCCCACAAATAGATGAACAAACCTTAGAAATTAATCTTTTATCCCAAGATGGACCATCACCCAAACCAACTATCCGCGACTGTCCCCAGGTTCTAAAATCACATCCCATTCATGGGGAGGACCCTATACCCAATATTTGAAGATGCATACCAAAAAAGAACCCTAAACCCAATGGAACCCACATCCAACACCAAATCAGATGGAAGCAGCACCTTTTGCAGTAACATCTCCTTTCTGTGATGTTCCTGCTGCAGCACCTGGCCCAAAGATTCCAGAGGAGGGATCTGAAGTTACTTCATTTGTGCACTAACACTGGTGTCAACACATTTTCAAGGTGACTTTAATCCTAGAACCATGGGTGAGGATATCCCCACAAATAAATGAACACACCACAGAAATTAATCTTTTATCCCCCCATACCAACTATCCTCGACTGTCCCCAGGTTCTAAAATCACATCCCATTCATGGGGAGGACCCTATACCCAATACTGGAAGATGCATATCAAAAAAGAACCCTAAACCGACAGGATGCACCATCACCTTAAACTTTTTCGATGCTCCCCAGAAGTCTATCCAACCACAGGCAGTTGGACTTTCAAACCCCACTGTGCAAATGAGTCCACTGTCTGTGGATCTACTTGGCATTTTCCTGCCAAGCTCGAAAGATGATATTAACAAAACCAGCTGGGTAGACACTGGTCTTAGTTAACATTTTGGTGCCCTGCACATGCCCGTCAGAACTCTTGATGTAGTACACTTTCTGGGCATCTTTGTTGAACCTGTGCTTCTCCCGCAGCTTCTTCGTCAACTTCCGAGCAAACGTGGCATCTCTGCGAAACGAATGCAACAGGTGTGTCGGCTTGGGAATTGGGCATCCAAAAAGTCCTTGATAGGTGAGACTTTTGTGCAAATGAAAACCAGCTATGATCTTCTGCCAATGATCGTCCTTGAAGAGCCAACTTCCACTAGGCTGTTCTGCCATTATCTGGCAGTCTGATCGGAACTTCAAGGTGGCTTTCAGGGCCATGCAAGCGTTCATGCTGATCCTGTTTGAGAGGCACACAGCATATTGGGCCACATTTCCACGGGGTCCATAGAGGTGCCTCAAATGCAAGGATGATGTGAGAAAGATAAACAAGGAACATGGTGGAGCCCAAAAGCTCAGTGCCCCAGGAAGCAACTGCATCAACAAGGAGAGCAAGGTGAAAAATCCAATGTGGGTGACTAAGTCCATACCCACAGCATCATGGTTGATGTCGTAGGCCGCGGCTGCCAGGCCCTGCCGGACCCACTTCTGCGACATCTTCTTGGAGCGGTCAAAAACACTGACCAGGTTCAGGTTTCTGACGCCGTCCCAAGATTTGCAGAATGATCGAATTTCCTCCCAATGGTCCTCTGCATTGTACCAGCTGGTTTCATTGGCCCCGGTGCTAGTGTCAAGACAGCGCTTGGATTTGCCGGCTTTCTCTGGCATTGGGTCGAAATTGAACAGAATTGAAACTCCCAAAGCAATCCCAAAAACTGAGCTCAGCCAAACAGCGACTGCATACCCATGCAATGTGAAAATATGTGAGCCACAGTGCCGACTGCCTAACTCTTTCAAACCAACAAGAACTCCCTCGGCCCATGGTCATCTCTTTGTTGGAAACAACTTTCATACCAGTGCCAACAAAAATATATCTCCCACAACATCATTTAAAACCCGGCCCATGGTGCCTGCTTTCTCCTTTCCGACTGAAGACCCATCTTTCAGTGCTCCTGGGAGCAAGTGCTAGTGTCTGGGTGACCGGGTGTCTCAACATGGTGCCTCACAACTTGAGGAGCTCATGGGAAACCCAGAAACTATCTCAGAAAGGATCAGACTAGCAGTGATGTTGAATTCATCCACCGGATACAAGTACCCCACCCACACACTTTTTTCTCGATCTTGTTTTACATTCCGATGCATTTTGATGCATTCCAACTGCCATCAAATGAAACTCATAGGCTGTGAATCATTTTCTCTTCGTCAATTTCTTCAAGCAGTTGCAGCAGATCGGAAGTGATCGAGACTTGTCCAAAAGCCCTGGAACGCATGTGCTGTAGAGATGCACCTACAGGAAGGTTTTGAATGGTTTTGGAACAAAATTGAAACAAAAAAAACAACAAATGATAACCAATGACATATTGACATGCCAGGTCAAACATGAAAAAAGGAAAAATTGTAAGTATATTCTTTCAAAGTTGGGTACCTTATTGGAAGTGGTCAGTTGGTAGACGCATTCGATCCCACGACAATCTCGAAATGAAGAGTGCCCACTCATCTCCATGCCTGTGGTGTCAGCCGAACCAGTGTCCAAAGTCTTGCACTTTGGTCTGTAGCACATGTACAGGATGGTCTTCAAGATACTCCAAGCGTCTCGAGCGACACACAACACCAAGTAGAGAATCACTAGCAGGTCAATTTCAAGGGAACCGGACATCATGGCAACTAAGGGTTCTTCTAAGCAAAAGCCAAAGCCTAACGTGTGGGAATTTGAGCCTTGGCACTTTCCAGAGACAACGAGAAATCAAACGTAACCATGTCATCTGTTCCCCCCTCACTGGAAACCCTGAAATGTCCTGGCGGCATCTTTGCCGATTCTGTCTTGTTTTTGGCTCCTGCGACATGATGAGTGCTTTAGATGGTGTGACAGGTGCTCAAAAAATAGAGTGGGTGCTTTAGATGTGTCTGACAAACAATCTCCAGATTTTTGAGAACACGTGCCAACTCCACCGGTCAGTCCTTTCTTCAACTCAGCTTCTCGTTTCTTCTTCAACCCTTTGCACCACTGAGGTCGGGCCTCTGCAAGCGTGGATTGATCCAAAACCCAGAGGTGACCACACTCATTGAGGTCTAACATGGTATCCACAGTACAAACACTAACACATATCCAGCAATCATATGGGGAAACCATTGAAGAACCCCTGATAAGTATTGAAACCTCTCAGACCTGTTCAAGTCTAATCAATTGTCTAATCATTTGTGGCTTGGTCCCCAACCCAAGGGTGAACACACTCATTGAGGTCTAACATGGTATCCACAGTAGAAACACTAACACATATCCAGCAATCATATGGGCAAACCATTGAAGAACCCCTGATAAGTATTGAAACCTCTCAGACCTGTTCAAGTCTAATCAATTGTCTAATCATTTGTGGCTTGGTCCCCAACACAAGGGTGAACACACTCATTGAGGTCTAACATGGTATCCACAGTACAAACACTAACACATATCCAGCAATCATATGGGGAAACCATTGAAGAACCCCTGATAAGTATTGAAACCTCTCAGACCTGTTCAAGTCTAATCAATTGTCTAATCATTTGTGGCTTGGTCCCCAACCCAAGGGTGAACACACTCATTGAGGTCTAACATGGTATTCACAGTAGAAACACTAACATATATCCAGCAATCATATGGGCAAACCATTGAAGAACCCCTGATAAGTATTGAAACCTCTCAGACCTGTTCAAGTCTAATCAATTGTCTAATCATTTGTGGCTTGGTCCCCAACCCAAGGGTGAACACACTCATTGAGGTCTAATATGGTATCCACAGTACAAACACTAACACATATCCAGCAATCATATGGGGAAACCATTGAAGAACCCCTGATAAGTATTGAAACCTCTCAGACCTGTTCAAGTCTAACCAATTGTCTAATCATTTGTGGCTTGGTCCCCAACCCAAGGGTGAACACACTCATTGAGGTCTAACATGGTATCCAAAGTACAAACACTAACACATATTCATCAATCATATGGGGAAACCATTGAAAAACCCCTGAGAAGTATTGAAACCTCTCAGACCTGTTCAAGTCTAATCAATTGTCTAATCATTTGTGGCTTGGTCCCCAACCCAAGGGTGAACACACTCATTGAGGTCTAATATGGTATCCACAGTACAAACACTAACACATATCCAGCAATCATATGGGGAAACCATTGAAGAACCCCTGATAAGTATTGAAACCTCTCAGACCTGTTCAAGTCTAATCAATTGTCTAATCATTTGTGGCTTGGTCCCCAACCCAAGGGTGAACACACTCATTGAGGTCTAATATGGTATCCACAGTAGAAACACTAACACATACCCAGCAATCATATGGGGAAACCATTGAAGAACCCTTGCAAATGATCTCAATTGTACATCGTACCAAGCAAGTACCAAGCTCTGAGTGTGGGAAATCAATGGAAATATTTGATAAAAAACATGTTGAAAGGAAATGAAAAGAACATCTCATGGACTGACTCTTCCAAATCCAAAACTTTTGATGCTTCCCTTATGGCATTTCCTGGGAAAATTGTCAACAAGGCTCCGAAACGTTCGGGATCACACTCAGCGAGAACCATGGGATAGGAGGTCCTGGCCTGGGAGTTTCAAAGATTGTTCTGTCAAAGTTTGGACAGCTGCCGACTTTCATGACTGGTTTGAGCGAGGCTCAGCATGGTTCAGCATAGTCTGTGAAAGAATCTCATGCAAAAAAATAATTCAGCCAAGAGACGTGAATGATTCATGTTGCACAGGGCGCATTTTGCCACTTGGCTGCATCGTCTTGCGCGCGCATCGAGCACGCCAGAGTTCCAGAACATGGTCAAATTCTGGTTTGGCACACTCAAAGCCGCATATGCCACAATCGGGCGCCGGTCCCGGATGACAATCTGCCATTTTTTTGACAACAAATGTCTGCAGCCACAAACATGCCAAAGCTCACTTTCCAGATTCTGCATACTCAGAGTCACAGATTTTGTGTTGACTTTTGTTTCAGTAAATTCGATTAAATTGGTGTAAAAAAAATGTTCGTTTTTCTGTTTTGGATCTGCACATTTCTTGCGCCGTCCTGCCCCCCCTCTCCCCGAGTGCAATTGCCAATGCACAAAAACGACAACACAGACACACGTCCACACACACAACTTACTCACTAACAACTTGTCCACGCACCACTTACTCACAAATTGCCAATGCACAAAAACAACAACACGGACACACAAAACTAGCTGCAAAATAGAATTGAGAACTATGGTGCCCAAGCTGCCAAATGAAAAATATCAAAAGTTAGCTTTGAATAAGGTATGTATACATATATATATATATATATTAAATCTATCTATATATATATAACTATATATATAATTATATATATATATATGACAACATATAGGGTTCTACAATCATAGGGGGTAAAGTTCTACAATCATCCCAGAGGATGATTTTAGAACCTTTTGACCCACCCCTCCAGGGGTACCCATTCTAGATACCTCGTACTTGAGGGTATTGTATGTATGTATGTATGTATGTATGTATGTATGTATGTATGTATGTATGTATGTATGTATGTATGTATGTATGTATGTAATGTATGTGTATCTGTATCTATATCTGTATCTGTATCTGTATTTGTATATGTATATGTATATGTATGTATGTACGGATGTACGGGTGTACGGGTGTACGTATGCATGTATCTTGGTAAGTATGTTGTTTGTCTGTCTGTGCTATATGCGTATGTGTGTGATGTATATTGTAACGAAACGTCATGAGATGTAATACAGTGTAAATCAGAGCAATGCAATGCCACTTCATGGCATGGTAGAATGATATCTATCAATGTAGCTATGTGAGCTATGTCTGTATGAATGCATCCATCTGATCCATGTTACCTCAGTGGAAACCCATAGAGATCAACACTCGTAGCAGATAGGCTTCCTTAAGGTAATTGAGCCATAACACAAACGGATGACATGGCATTCAGCCAACATAATTCAGGCAGAAAACATACCCTCTGGTAAACTAACATAGCTATGGAAAATCACCATTTTCAATGGGTAAATCCATTATTTCTATGGCCATTTTCAATAGCTATGTTTGACATAACCAGAGGGTATCACCAAACTGGAAGCACTGAAGTGTCCAGACATTGCTCCGTCAGTTTTCACCATGTCACCCTGGCTCCACCAAAGCAACTTAGTGCTGATTCCGCGGTGTCACCGATGCGTTCCTACTGAACGGCCACCTGGGTTGACCGTGGGCTGACAACAGGTGCGGGCAAGTCCTGGTGCCCCTCAGTGAAACGTGTGTTAATTGATAAACCCCATCAATTATAGGATGGATTGTATACATATTTATACCTTACCTATGGTTAATAGTTGATTCATAAATCTATAGTTGATGGGCTTCTAACTATATTTAGTTGATGTTTATAGCTAAGAATGGATATATCTACTATAAACCATATAGTTATTGGAGTTCTTTGCAACCAACTTAGCTATTTAAAAGGGCCCACCCAATGACATAACACCTTAACAAACCGGGGCACTGTGGAAGTTCACCTTCGAAAGAACATGAAAGGTACAGGAGGCCAGATTGGATACTTTTCATTATCATTTAAAATTTTGCAAGAACAAATAACTGGTTGGTGGTTGACCTACCCCTCTGAAAAATATGAAAGTCAGTTGGGATGATTATTCCCAATATATGGAAAAATAAAAAAACAGGTTCCAAACCCCAGATAAGAACCGTTGATACGGTAAACGAACATCAACCAACAAAATTGGGAGTTGCCCCGCGTCAATCAAACGTGGCAAGCCGGAACATCCACCATTTATACCATGGATTCTCTCAATAAAAACCTGCATTTGGACACTATTCATGAGATTACCATGATTTTTACCATGATTTTTTCATGATTTTTACAGTTGGCTGATGTTTAAGCCAGCCATGTTTGAGTACCGGAAGGCCAGTTTGGACACGATTCATCAGTGGATTGGTAAGAAACTATTCTTACTATATATGGGCTGAATAAACATCTATTAACCACAAGGTGAGGCCCCCAACAATAGCTGAGTTAACTTATAACATCTTATGACTTGATTAACTTTTGGATTTATCCAGGATATAACTATGCATCATGGGCTTATAAACCAACTTACAACTGGAGCCGCACCTTACAGGTATTGACTACCTGGTGGGACCAACGAGGCTTAGCCAGGGAAATGTTGACGAACAACTGTACCGAAAAAAAACCATATATACAGCTATCCGGATGATTTCAAATGATTGTTTACGATTACATTGGGGGTCAAGAGGAAATACCCCCCAAATTTTGGTCATTCGCATCCCAGCATGGCAAGCTTTCTGGCATTTGCTTGGATGTGACAATCTGGGTACCACGCTTTATGTGTGAAGTTCTGGTAATACCGTACCATGCGTAAAGTTCAATTCTGGGACATGCTGTTCCGTGCCATGTCATGTAAGTACAGTTATGGCCGCCATGGCCCTTAGGCCCTTAACAGTTATAAATGGGATTGTAACTCCTGCAATTCAGGTTAGTTATACTGGTTGGCGGTTTCAACCCCTCTGAAAAATATTAGTCAATGGGAAGGATTATCCCATACATTAAGGAAAATACAAAATGTTCCAAACCACCAACCAGTATATATATATATATAAATATCACTTAAACGCGTTTTTTTCAGCCAGTGAAGGGCCATGTAACAAGGCCCAGGAACCGGCTGAACCTTCGAAACTTTGCGCTTGAAATCCGCCAACGAAGTGATGCTCTGGGTACCCCTGTCCTGCAAAGGGCTGTGCTGTGGTTGACTTACTTGTGCTTAGCAGGGAATGAGGGAATGATCCACAATAAGCTTTAATAATAATCCCATTCCGCCATTCCCATCCATTCCCTACGTTTAGCACCAGTAAGTTGATGGCAAGTCCTGTTATACGCATGTCATTTTTTTTGTCAACGGCCACATAAGGTGATAAAAAAGGCATCTCATAAGGCACAAGCGGCCACATCAACGTTGGTTTATTGATCAGAGATTTTTAACTATAGAAGAACTCTAAAATAAAAACACAAATATACCAATATCTACCATAAACATACATAAACCCAGGTATATATCCACAAACCCAGGTATATACATGTGTGTATATGACCAATATCTGCCGTGAAACCACCGAACGTACCCCCAGGGCCATGGTTTCAGATCGCCACGGATTGCCGCCGTCGTCTCCGTCGTCTCCTGACTCACGGCGCTGCTACGACTGGAAGATCGTCCGCGTGGGGCTTGCAGCGTTTGCTCCTGCAGGGTTCATGGTTCCGAAACCATTTCATGGGGATTTCATGGGGGGTTTACCGCGATTAAGTTGGATATAGTTGGATATAGTTGGATGATGGATGTAAACGGATGTAATCTGCGAATATCTGCTATATCCAAGTGATACATATCTGATATGTTGAGGATTCAACCAAGATTCAAGCGAAGGGACCGCGGGAAGAACGCAGCACCAGGATTGCCAGGATTGCCAAGGGACGATCAACCATCGAATGGATTCCATTTAGTCACCAAACGTAATGTGCTACCTTGGTTCCCTGGGTCCTCTATAAGGTAGGTTTGGGTTATTGAAGACAGAAATAAAACAAAAATAGAGTTGATACTGCAACGCTGTTGCCTTTTGTTTTCCTGGGTTTTCCATGTGTTTCCTTTTTTTTTCTCCTTATTTTTCTTAAAGATTGCACGCCAAGTATCACGGTGGAACACAATGGAGTACCACAAACTTTGTCAGAAAAAAACATGTTTTTTCTCTCTTCACGTTTTGCATATCGCAAGGACAACGCATTCCAAACAATGGTTTACGTAAAACAAAACTCCAGAAATTATAGTTAATTCAATAATACATGATATATTTTTCTTTTGATTTTATTATGTTTATATAATTTTATTATATCTTATTGATATGCTTTCCTCCTGGCAAGAGCAAAAGAGAGGACATATGTCAAAGTTTTGTGTCAATTGTCACAAGTAAGCACAAGTGAACATGTGTCTGTATACCCTGGCCTCGAAACATTGCCATCCAACCTCAGGTGAAGCAAGTGGAGTTGGAATTATGTTATCTAAGATTTTGCATATTCTCGTAGCATTTACAAACACAAGTATCAAACAAATTCCTGAGTTTCGCCTGCAAGGACAACTGTTTTTACCCAAGAACCCTATGATGAGATCAAACACATGATGCTTGACATGTGTTGAAAATCTAATTTGCAGTGGTTGCCAAAGATTGGGGAGACAGAAGTTCTCCATGTAGTGCAACACACTGCATGCAGGCAGCTGGCACAAGTGTGAGACAAAAGTCACTCACACATGACGCAGCCGCAGAAACTCCGATGCAAAAGTCTGGGCAACACTTGACCCAAATTGTGGAGTGTAGCTACCTGACTCCTCTAGCAGGTCCTTCCTCCCGGTGAAACTTCGGCCATCTTCACTTCGAGTCACCAGTTGCTCACCTGACAATTGTTCCCTGGCTGGACAATCTCTGGACAGTTGATTGAAGCACACTCTGTTTGTCCATATCTGCAGCGGCTTCTGAGTGGGGCCAGCAAATGCTCCAAGATAAGTCTTCACACGATGAGCCTTCACAAATGACAACACTGACCTCATAGGAAGACACTTGTGCAAACACGAGTTGTCCGGCTGCTCCAAGCAGACCATGATGCCAATGACACACGACACAAGGAACATCATGGCTGCTACCTGCATGTGGCTATTGCCAGTCCTGACAAATGTCCTCGTGGTGTCTCCCCACCACTGGTTCCAGCCATACCTTTGGCTTTGCGCCAGACATAATATGACAAATGAAGAACAAGGTGGTCCAAGCCAACAAAGACCATGTTCACATATGCTCATGAGCATATCCATCCAGAGACGAAGGCCACATGTGTCGAGACAACTGTGCATATGTGAATGGATGATGTCGAACCCAGCTCCTTCAAAGCCTGCTTTGATCATCTCCTTGGTCAAGTTGGCTGCGCCACACCAGTACTCAACAAAGTGGTGGAGATGATGTGAACACTGGAGCCTGTTGGCAAAAGCACGCTGGCACAGGAGTGACAGCTTCATCGCAAGGTCTGTAACTGGTCGCAGACATGGGTACAGTGAGTCCAGGAGAGGTGGCCACATCTTGATCGCATTCCCACCAGACACATGAAGATCATGTGCCAAGAACCGAGAAAAGGTCTCCATCAGGAACGACGACATTTGTGCACACCTGCAGCAGTCAGGGTGGGCAGCCAGGATAGTTTTGAAGACACTACTAAGTACTACTAAGAAACTAAGACACTACTAAGTTTCTTTGTTACGTTTGTTATTATTCAACAACATGATTATCAACCCTGGCCTGTTGAAGGAAGAGTAGGGCCAGGCATCCTCATAGCCAAATGCAAGAGCTTTAGCACATTTGTCCACAAATGGGTCAATTGGCAAATCAGTGGCAGCTGCAGCTGCTGCATTGACACTTGTTGCCTCATGCATTTCAGTGACACCTGATGCCTCAGTGCCAGTGCCAGAAGAGCCGGCATCATCATGGACACATTTCTTGGTAGCAGCTTCGTCCACCTCTTTGTTTTGCTGACACTTGTTCTTCTTCGGAGGTGCAAAGCAGAGAAATGGAAGAAAGGGCCACATCATAGTCCGCTGCTGGCGCCTTTCTGCAACTGCAATTGATTTCCCCATGGCCGCCTTCAGAGGAGGAGTGAAATTTATACTCAAGATAATAGTCAGTGATCAGTGACCAGTATCCAGTGGAATTTCGAAAATTATGCCATGATTTGATATAACATGGTTTTTTCAACATGAATACAACTACATAGTTGTTTGAAACAGTTTGACATATTCACATAAAAAGCTGCGGGCATGAAACTCAATCTTAAAACAAGTCCAAGACAAGACAAATTCACTCAAAGTCTTGTGCATTCATTCATTCAAACTTGAGGCATTTTTTTAAGCGCAGCAGCATACATGTGCAAGCCATTGCAACACACTTGTTCAAGGACGCTTAGGATACTTAGTAATAGTAGGAGGAGGCATCTGTGCAATGACCTCTCTTATCACAGCAAGCATGCTGTCTGAGACATGTCCAGGCTGCTGCGCTTGATTCGGATCATCGAGTTCAAAGCCAGGCAAATGTTTTGCCAAATCCCAGCGCTCCCAAGCTTCCTGATGCAACTGCTTCAGTGCCTCTTCCCAGGACATATGTTGAAACGCCTTGGAGCGAGATCCACCTGGTCCATAAGCAGCCCACACTTGTCCCTCTCGAGGCTTGATCTTAAACTTTATGGTGAAGCGGTGGGCCTTTTGGTCCAAGCCAAATGACATTCCTGGAGGTGCCAATCTCTGAAGGATTGCAGGTGTGAAGTGCTCTCTTGGCGACACAAGTACCACATGACGCCTCCTCCCTGCTTCAGCTGCAGCAGGTTCTGCTGGAGGTCCTGCTGCAGGCTCTGCTACAGCCTCTGCTAACGGAGCAGGACCTGCAGCAGGCCCAGCTGCAGCATCAGACACTTCTTCCTCATCCAGCTCCATGTGCAGCGGCTGATTTTCCTCATGTTCCTCCATGTGCGGCGACTGATGTTCTTCATGTTCCTCCATGTGCGGCGACTGATGTTCCTCATGTTGCTCCATGTGCGGCGACTCATGTTCCTCATGTTCCTCCATGTCCGGGGACTGATGTTCCTCATGTTGCTCCACATGTTGCTCCATGTGCGGCGACTTATGTTCCTCATGTTCCTCAGCGACTTCGGGAAGCAGTGCTAAGGGCACAGGCTCAGAAACCTGTTCTGGACGATCGCTGGATTGAGGCTGAACTCCACGGCCTCTGCCTTTGCCTCTGGCTCTGCCTCGTCCTCGTCCCCGACCTCCTCGGCCTCGACCAAATGCTTTGCGAGAGGCAATCTTCTTCTTCTTTTCCTCCTTCTCCTTAGACGAGAATGTTTGAAATTAGTTATTTCTAAAGCTTTCTATTTCACTTCATTTTGACTAATTAATTTGAGAAATCTAGTCAGCAACCAAGATTCATTTTTTTTCTCCTCCTTAATATCTGCCCACTTCCTCTTCATAGCAGTTCGAGGATTGACAAATGTCTTGATGTCGCTAAACTCTTGTGCTTCATCCTTATCCAGCCCCTCCAGCAATGATGCAGCTAGGTCGACATTTGTCACTGCATTATTCTTCTTTGTTTTTTTTTCGCTGCTGCTTCCTGACTTTTCACAAACTCTGTGAAAGTTGCATCCCCAAGCCGCTCACAACAGCGGGTAATCAAATCAGCTCGAGACAACTTAACAGGATTGGGCACCCCCAGTGCATCAGCAATGATGACCAAGTCATTGTAAGTCAAATTGACCGACTGGCGAAGGGCTGCCTGTGGCAAGGGTTCAAATGGACGCTGTGGAGACAGTAGTACGCCAACACCTTCCTCCAATGATGCTTCTGCATCTGCTGCTACCCAGTCATTTGGGTTGAATGGAAAGACAAATGACCCCCCAATGGATGGATTGGTGCTGAGCTTGTAGGTTTGAAACCTGTCATGATGACCATGTTCCTCCAACGGCCACACCATAGTTGCCCAAAGTCGATTGCCAAGGCTGAGAACAGTTGTCTCTGTGGACAACTGTGACAGAAGTTGACCAGGAAAACACATGACAGAGTTCAGACCATCCTGCAAGTGCAGCCCAAACTGATCAAAGAAAAGAATATTTTTAAGTAAGTCTATTTGAGAATTGAGGAAACAATGCCAGCAAGCAAAAGATGCTCAATCAAAATCCAAGTCAAGTGTCGTCAACTTTGACATTTGTCTCCGCTAAAGTATGTTCAGTGTAAAATCGAATCCACTCCCATGCAGCATATGATTTCCCATACTGTTCCTCATTGACACTTGTCCATGATTTCTTCTTCATGATGTTGCTGAAAGATTTGGGAAGACGATGATAGCGGCTAGAAAAGATCTTGCGACCATACTGCTCATCAGCAGTCTGTCGCTTGCCCCATTTCTGGACGAATTCCTCTTTAGTCAACTTTCCCACATGGAATAGCTTTCTGGAACTGAAGACATTGCTGTTCATGACACATGACTGCACACGTGGCACGGTCATCTTTTGGTTCGGGTGACTCTTTGCCTCCACTCTCACCGCTTGATGACAATCTTCGACGATCTTGTTGTCGGGCAAGACAGTCAAGACACCCTTCAAGACAAATGTTCCAGGGACACTTGTTTCGTCCCAGCCACTCTGCTCAAAAAGAGCACACGATAG